AAAGTTAATTTGACGGTCGGTTTAAATTCTTTTGCTATGCAATTTTTGCAGGTTTTTTTGAATACGCCCCAGCGGTAGTTTTAGCAGTGCTTGTCGTGAATATAAAAATATCGTCCATTTGTACCGTTAAAAAGTCTTTTAGAGAATTCGTTGTGTGGTATACGTTTTGTACGATTGTAACTCTTAATTAGGTTCTCACATATCGTAGCGTTAACCCGTAGTATTCCAGCTTAACACTAATGTAACCAAATACGGTTGTTGGTAGCCGGCGAATTAACGCCAAACATATGTCAAATGTTTTGTGAATTTACGGACTACTGCATTCTGGGATCCCTATTTTATCATCCGAGGTATTCTACATATGTAAATTTGTTAAATCGTATATATATACCTACCTACATTTTGCTATACGCTTCGTAGGAGGATTCTACGTATTCGTACTTCATATGAATTTCATTTACCGTAGCTAATATGACACCACAATCTACGTTCACGTTATAAATTGAGCGTTCTGTCCAAAACTGGACCTTACTTAAAATCCTTTTTCAGTGAGTTTTACAAACTTAAAAAAAACCGAAATCGTAGAAAATAAGCATTTCAAGAAAATCACTCTGCATGTCTCTATACTAGTGCTTGAGCAAAAAACAAAAATAGTCTTACGTTTTAATGCCAGTAATACCTGAGCAATAAAGAATAAATTTTCATCACGACACATAAATAAGCATCCCGCGTGAGGTGCTTTCCGTTAACATAATTGACTACAATTAGAGTTTACTTTAAGATACACGAATGAAGATAGTGTGATTTTTATTTAGATATTATGTTAGCCAGTTAAAACCAAAAAATTATGTTATGAGGCTATTACACAGCTATAAAACAATATTACCCGGAATGACATAAACAGTGGTGAAAGATTTAAGAAAGATTTATTTTTGTTCCGTTTCAATGATAAATACGACAAAGAGCAATTTTTGGCAAAGATTCTGGCATTTTGCATGCAGAATTTTCTAAATTCCTTTGCAGTGACAATTCAAAATTCTAATCTCGCATATTAGATAAATTACACTGAGAAAAGGAGCTGAAGGTGTCATATATTCAATAAACTTGAGATTTACTTGAACATTTTTCGAACATTATTTGGCAAGCTTATTCATGATATTACCAAGATAATTTACATACACAATCAATAAATTCTATAATTATCAAATTTCCTAAGTTTTAAAAATTAATCTTTCAATGATTTATGACCCGTTTTCCAAAGTAAATTTAGATAAATTTTTGTTCTTTTTGTTCTGATAGTTAATTCAAAAAGGCGGTTTTTTAATTGTTTTATTTTCGGCTCGATGCAGAGCCATATTACTTGTCAGAATCGCGGAGGATAGATATCAATGACAAATGATCTATCTGTTAAAACCTCCTACGTTCCAAACCACCAACTTCGGGATTTACGTGTAAGGGAAATCGTAAATTTCCAACATGGCCGCTTCTTTTTAATAAAGCGTAAACGTTCTCCGGTATAATCCAGGACCTCGTGTGACTTTATCATGTAATTATCGAGAAGTTTGGCGAAAATGCGGAGCGAGCGTTTACGAATCCATCGTTTGTGTCTAATTTAAACAAAGATAAGCTGCCATTGATGGTATGGGAGAGATATGAGGCCGGTCACGGAAGTTGTATGTCCTCGGAAGTCGTTTGTTATCCTTTGTAAACACTTTTTTTTTCGAAAAAAAAAGTGTTTCTAGTTGGTGCAAACGTCTCAAAAGAAACATCGCGAAACACTATTATTTATGAAGCAGGAGAAATTTCATCCAAAAGAAAAAAAAAAAATAAAGGGGGTTTTGGTAGACTGGAAAGAGAACGAGGTTAGTTTGTTGTGAGAGTATTATTAGAATACTCAAGAGAAAACTACGCGCTTGAAAATAGTTACGATTGAAATAGACGATAACAGCTGACTGCTTTAAAATAAATATATTATACTGATTTTCAGCCAAATATTTGATACATTTCTTGCGTGATTTATTACATCCATTGAGATGACAGATAGGATCATTGCAAATCTGATGAAAATGAGATAATTCTGCACAGTAAAAATATCTACTCAAAACAATTTTTAATTTAACTTTGTAATCGCTGATATTAGCCTTTTCTCTTAAGCAACATCGACACTATGTCAGATTTATAAAAGTTTACAAAACTCAGGATACAACTTCTTTGTTTCCTCTTCTAATAACCTGCAGCAAAAAATAGTTATTATTAATATTAATAGTTATACAAGGCGATTAAGACATTATTTATCTACGAGTGAAAAGGATAAGTTTGCGAGTGACGAAGTGGACTTTTTTCACGAGTAGATAAACAATCTTTATCGTCATGTATAATACTTCGTTTTATTTTGTACTCACCTAACAGAATTTCTTGCATATAAACAGTAGATAAAAATTACTTTATTTCAGTAGACGATAAAAAACTACTTTATCTACGGAAATTAGTTGATAAAAGCACTCTTTAACATTGAGTACAAAATAAACATTTAAAATTATTTTTCGAACAAAAATAAATAAAGTCAAACTGCAAAATTTAAACCCTCATTCATAATTTTGAAATGTTTATAGATATACTTTTTATTCTTCGACACTGTCAAAATTTACGGTTTTTCTCCCGTGTAAGAAAGTTTTGACAACTGTTTGGCATTTTTCAATACGAAACGTCAGATTATTTTTAATAGATTTAAAGCAAGTTTAAGCCTTGTTGAGTCTAATGCGAAGAATAAAATGTTATATTCAACTGGTTTGAGTGTAAGTTGGACGCTTTATTCCACCTCGTGGATGATAAGCCACTCGTTACACCCGTTATGTCAGAAATTAGTGTTTAACCGTCTGAATGTCACAATATGAAAAAAATTTAAACCGAGAATTTTTTATCTTTTACAAGAGACGTTTCACCTACGAGTATCCGGGAACACACTGTATATGTCTTTCGGGTCTAATATCTCTCTTATTTGCTAACCGACTTTTATGAGTACATATTAAGATGTAGGATAACTTAGAAGGTGGAGAGGTAGTTAATACAGTGATGGACAGAGTATTTCGTCCACCCAATTTACTTGACAGATTAAAAGTGTAAATTAGTCTTTAGGTTTTCCTAACCTTGTTTCAGAATTTTGATTAACGTTTGTCATGTTGACAATATGCTCGATAATTCTTGCTACTTTTTACCTTTGTCCTTTGAAATGGTAGTCCTTGGTATACACAAAAATATAGAGACACGTCTTTGAGACATACCTTCTTATACCAGAGAGATAATTTTTATTTTATTAAACGCACTTACTGCTGGCATGTTCGAATTTGATTAAATTTGACAATATGTATTTGAATGTCAGTTAACCTGACAATAAAGCACAAACTAAAGTGAATTTTTGTGAATTCACAGAAATTGGGTGGACGAAATTCACTGTCCATCACTGTATTAATAAAATTACCTCAGAATAAGAAAATAATTTTACTCATATTTTCTCAACTTAATATTAAGCGAAACTATTATTATATTGCTAAGCACTAAAAAGTAAACCTCTGCACAAAAAATAACTAAACCACTCATCTGAATTAGCAGAAATAATTCGATTATGTTGTTAAAATATTTGAGCTAATTTTTGAAAGAATTTTATTAAAGTTACCTTAAAAAGAAAAGTTTTTCGTCTTCAAGTACCTTTTTGTTCAACGCTGAAAATCTGTGGTAAATTAAGTTAGAACATCTTTAGAACTTTTAGAACCATTACTGACCTTCGATTACCTTTTATTGTGTTACAATGGTTAGTCTAATAAATGCAGTTCCTAAATTACGTTTTTCTCGATGCTTTAATGAGTCACTTCAACACCAATTTGGGTGCTGAAATAAACTAGTACAATTTAGGAAATTTTCAGCTACATTTTAAGCGATTTCTCTTATTCCAGGTTATGTGCATGAAATATGTATTTGCAGTATTCATTGTTAATTAACAATGAAAATTTTGAAAAATTCTCGACATTTGACATTTCGAAAATCGAATTGTTTAAACTTTGTGACATTTATTACTAACCACCACCTTATTAAAACAAAAGTTCCTAAATTTTGAAAAATCGTATTTTATGTTAAAAAGTACGTAAAACGCGCAAAATAGAAAAAATAACATTTCATAAGGCAGCAGATACACGCCAAATGTCCTGGTCCAGAAGTAAAAAGTCATTTTGGGGTGTGTAAACACAGGGTATTTTGTTAGTTTTTTAGGGCGTTCTTGGGGTAATTTTCCATTATTTTGGGAGCTTTTAACCGTTTTTTCGTGTGCCCAATTTTTGGTGGTCTACATATATTTGGGAACTTTTGGAGTGGATAAAAATTAATGATTTTTGACAGGTTTTGGGACCTTTCGGTAGTTTGCTTTTGAGCAAACAGCTAAATTTGTAAGATTTTGCCTTGTTTTTTAAAATGTCCTGGCCCAGAAGTATAACATTTTATATACTATTATATATTGTATTATATTATATTGTATTATATATTACAGTATTACATATTATAGTATTACATATTATAGTATTACATATTATAGTATTACATATTATAGTATTACATATTATAGTATTACATATTATAGTATTACATATTATAGTATTACATATTGCAATTACTATATTTTTATAATAAAGAAACTGAGGCGAATTCAGTGATTTGCTACCCTTTGTACCTAGCCCGGCTAGCTCAGTCGGTAGAGCATGAGACTCTTAATCTCAGGGTCGTGGGTTCGAGCCCCACGTTGGGCGCTTTTTTTTATTTTCCCATGCTTGTCTTGGCTTCCGTATAAGTCTTCATTACTGACATATGTGTTCATCTGTTTACAAAATTCATATTAAAATGCATCCGTTAAGGTTACTTAAAACAAACATCAAGTACCAGGCCGTAAATCCTGCGTCCAAATAGAATAAATACTGAGAAGATCCGCGCTATAAATACTCAGCAAAAAAGCCAATTCTCGAGAGTAGAGTAGGAGTGAATTCTGTAAAGAGCTAACCGCGTAAGTAGGGTTAAAGTTTAGTTTTAGATCGTCGCAAGCTAGTTTAAGTCACATGTGTCTCAGAGAATGTCACCGACATCGCTTCAGAGTATTTCGAGTGCGGACAAAATCGGATTCCTGCCCGAGCATGGGCTAACGTCGATCGGATGTATTTAAGGCCGGTGCAATGCTGAGAGAAATCGTAGCCAAAATCGTGATAGTTTTCTGGTTTGCAGCCAGTGTTGCATGCTTGGATACCCCGGAGTTCCAGAGGAACCGTGAGTATGCGATATTAACTACTTTGATTCGCGGGATTTATTACTATTTGCCAGTAATGGAGGTAGTTAAGTGCAACAGTAGCGAACTAATTATCCGCAACATTGTAACGTCCAGATAGTTGCAATTTACTGGCAATGTGCTCCAAGTTGGTTCTTTGCTGCTGAATTAATGGGGATGTGAGCGGACCAGGCCCAAGGCAGTTTTGTTTATTTTGCTGTTCCAAGGTGCATACATATACATAATTTGCCACAAACTACTAATTCGCAACTAAAATCCAATTTATTGCGCGAAAAAGTAATAATCGTGGATCAAAATAACCGATACGTATTATTTTTATGACATTTGTGTTTTAAGCGGAAATGACATTCTAGCCGTTAAAATGTATTTTTAAAATAGATATTTAGGGCCTTATAAATTCTTGACCAAATCCTTTTATATCTATAGTCATATCAAGTGTTATTTATTGCTAATCGACTAGGTTTTAGACTGATGGCCAGAAAAGAGTAATTAACTCACTTAGAATTAATTAATAATTTACGATAAGTGGTTATTAGAATGCGTTTCTGGTCGCAATGTGTTTTTCATATTAATTAAAACTACGTTTTTAACATTAAAACTTGTGTTATTAGTATAATCAATGACTAATTTCCTTTTGATTTTTATTTTTCATATTCCTAAAAATTATCTAGGATGTACGAGTATGTACTAATGTATATTAAAAAACTAAGGTAAAAGGAATGCATTTAACATTACAATAAAATTTAAAAATTGTTCGTTCTGAATTTCACTAAAATGGTCTCTCTTGATTCAAACAATTTTTTGTTGGAAAAAGGCCCCCAGTGGAACAGAATTTGAGCGAAAGCTTTGATCCATTAATACGCAAAGTTGTATTATTTCCTTCATTAAATGTCTGGCTTTTGTGAAATTTCTCCCTTTATAAAAAATTATATAATAATGAAACTAACATGCAAAACATGTAAACAGATTACAACACACTCAGAGACTCAGACTTTAGATTAATTACGCTTTTCTAAGTCTGTTTTTTTTGGCAATATTGAATATACATTACCTGGACAAAGCTGAAACTTTGAAAATGACAAAAAACAAAGTGTTTCCATTATTCAGAAATGTCACGTTCACTAAAAATAATCGAAACTTATAATTGGCGAGACATCAAGGAAATTGGCAATATAAAGCTTCACCTCTACGTGATTTAACTCGTTCAATCGAAACAATTACGGCTAAGGTTTGTAGGACATTAAATTGTTTAAACTGGATCGAAATGTTTAGAAACCTAGTCAAATTAAAGGATTAAATATTTATTGAAAGCACACGTAATTCTTTAATGGATTATTTATGAATTCTAAATAGCTTAGATTGAGTTACTACAAGCTGGAGAAGTTTATTTTTTTTTAATCAATCCCATTGTGAAAATCTGTAGATATAAAAATAGATGCAAAAAGACAGCTTAATGTGGCCGTGACCCGTTTTGCATACACTTTTTAAAATAAAATTTATAGATTTTTTGTTGTGAATTTTGAGTAATATCAAACTCAAAATTCTGTGGGCGCTCAAGCACACGTCGGAAAACAAATTCTTTTGGTGAATAATAGCAATTAGGAATATTGATTAAATATCTACGTAACAGACTATTCTTACTATATATATCATTTTTGCTAGCGTTTTGGGAACATTGCCATGTGATGTGATATTTGATTCCATCATGTGCTACGTACTTCAAGCTTTTCACTGTGTTTTGTTGAACAATCAGCGCCGTTACAATTAGTTTCTTCGTTTGTGATTTCGAATTTTCAAAGCTTTTTAATTAATAAACTGTTATATATTAAATCTTCTTTAGACGCTTTATAATACAATAATTTAAAAGGGCTTTCTATTCCAGTATGTTTTTTGAAGGAAATGACACTGTAAAAAAAACGGTAGTTGACACTTAATGGAGCTTTCACGGTAATAAATTAAGGTTGGTTTTAAAAGAAGTAATTTTGTTTTAACAATGTGATAACACATCAGGAAGATTTGGGACCTGTAGGTAGGATGAAGTTTATAATCCTGACAGAACGCTCATATTCAACTTTTATTAATTGGAATAGTTGCGCCTGTTTATTCAGATAATTACAACTGATCACAAGAAGATGTTAATAATTCATTTAGTAACCCTTCGACCCCGACTAATTGCAAATTCCACAAATAATACTATAATAATATGCTTTGAGTGCTTGTATTAGATTCGCTTTTGAACAGCCTTTGCTTGAAATAATATTACATCTCTTTGTTGTCGAAATTGTAGTACCAAAAATGATTTTGATATGGTCCACTAATCTCATGTTGATTAAGCTGAAAAATCACACTGATTCATAAATTTTAGAGCTTTGACCCGCTTGTTCAGTTTCTCGTGCTTTTCATATCGCCTCGATACTCACGCACCGGATACACATTTGTGAGCTATGGCAAACATTCATAGCAACTGGCGTAATTTGTGGATTCTCAATCACAAAGGTACGTCTATTTTAGACCCAACTTTATGATTCATTTGGCAAAAAAATTCGAAATGTGTTTTTCAATTCAATAAAATTGCGAGTAAATATTTTAGGTGCTTGTTTATTAAAGCTACGCAGAAATTTTTGCAGTTTATAAATTAAAATGTAAATTTTTAATAAGTACAAAACTAAAACAAGCTAAAATAACTTGCTACCTGAAATTAATTTTAATATTATTACAAACTGTCGGATAATAAAATAAACCATTTCATTACAACATAACAGCGTTTTTTAAATTAATTTGTAATCACATATTTGCTTTAAAGATTAAGTAGTTTTATTAAATTAAATTAATTAAAAAATAGTAGGTGTTTACAATTGACTTATTAAACAGGTAGGTAGTATTTTTGAGATATAAAATAAAACAAAAAATTAGACGAGTAATAACAAAAAATAAGCATTGTTGTTGTTATATCTGCAGATTTACTTTTTCGGCTTTAAATTAAAAATAAACTAAATTTTGTAAGTTGTGCTTCAAAGTTATAAAAGAAAAAATAATGCTACTCTTGTAGCTAACTAATATCTGCACTGATTCCATTATTTCGTTTATAGCATTTAACAAAATGTGTTTAATTTTCATGCTTCTGTTTAGGTAGTTTATTTAAAATGTGAGTATTATTATTAATTAAGTAGAAGTATTATTATTAACAGTAAATATTACTATAATGCTCGTATTTAATGTAGGTATAGATATAGTAATATTCTTTTAATTTTTCCCGTTTATCGTAAAACTGTGTGAAATAACACAATCCCACGCGCTACAAGTTTTGTCTTTGTTGTTACTATGCGAATGAGTGAGACAAAATGCAAACGGTCAAGCGTAGCGGAAAATTGGAGGGACCACCAGTCGTTCTCAAACTATGAGACGCCACTAAGCTAAAATTTGTTAGTATTATTATTATTTTTTTAATAAATTAATAAGTCTTGTATGTTTTCAAACAAAACAAAATGTTAACAGTCGGTTTATTTTATTAAACATCCATTCATTAATTGTCAATTTCTCTTGCTGCATTTTTTAATCTATTGAGAATCACTGTTATGTTTTGGTTGAGTGAAGTAGATAGGCGTGCTAAAGTTTGCTGTCTCTTTAAACAACTTAAGTGCGAGAAAGACAACATACCAGGGACCAGAGAGCGGCATAACGTTTATCTTACTTGCTCCTACCTACTTACTTGAAGAGCGAGAGAGACAACAGTTTTATGACATTCGGGTAAAATTAAAAGAATTCTTCTATATGCAGAGTCGTTAAAAAGTATAGATACAGCTAAATATTTTCAGTGATTTAGCAGAGCACGTTGAAATTTAGAAAACAGTTTACCTATTTTTTGGTCAAAGTTCAGGCGGCAAAGAACTAAAAAGGCTAAATAAATTACTTTTTTCAAAATTTAATTAGTTCGATAATTTTTTTTTAAATAAGATATGCATGTGTTACATCACAGAACTCAGAAAAAAATGCTCTTCTTAAAAATATTTAATTTGACCCGCCTTGACATTAAAAAAAATCAAATTAGCCTTGTATCCCCAGAACAAATAGCGATAGAAGTTTGATAAACATACGAGGCGATGTAATTTAAATAGTTTTAAGCATATACCAAATTTCAATAAGTTTTGATGAATAGTTTTTATAATATTTAACTGTATTCATACTTTTTAGCGACCCTGTATATTTTTTTAGAAATATTTCAAATAAATCTACTGTTGTTGAGTATAGCAATAATATACAGCTTTTCCAATTTATAAGTGTTGCTTAATCCGACCGTGTTTTTCCCAACTCGGTTTCATATAATTAATTTTTTCCGCTTTGCAAATGTTGACTTTCGGATTCGCAATTCGGATTTAGCGTTTGTAGACTCTGGCGCGAAAACAAACATTTCAAATAATATTTTGTCTTGCATTTACCGGATTTAGCGTATTCAAAATGGCATAAATTCGTGATTAATCTCCCCAAGTTATAAAATCAGCGTTTCATTTTGGCGATGCAGATCTTGTCCCGCATTAATCAAACGTGTACCCGCCAAACTAATTTGGATGGAAACTCAGCGGCACGTAGTTCGAAAAGGAATGCCGAGTTTCACAAATAAATCTTATTGTTGCGAGTTGGCGCCATTGTTCGCACATCCTCTGACCATCCGGCTCGTGCCCGAGCCACTTTTGCCACATCTGGTCTCACTTTCATTGATGAGAACGGCTTAAATCGCGCTTTGTAAAAATAGACACGCCTCGACACTTCGGGAATTTCAGACATCTCGACTCAAAAGACATTCAATGGTTTTAGATGGTATTGTCTGGATTTTCAACAAGTTCTGTCTGTGCAACGAGGAGTCGAGGTCGGTGAAAAGGCCATGAAAGCGCAAGATTCTTGTTTTTTTTTTAAAGATCGTTATTGCTAAAATATCTAAATTTGGGTTTTGCACATTTTGGGAGATTCGAGGAACGCCGAATTTTTCTTTTGGGAATTGTCGCTTATTTGCTCTTGTGTGATAATTAAGCCGTGACGTAATCTGTTTATGATATTAAAATAAACGTTTCTATGGAGTATGTGTGCGATACAATAAGTCGCGGTGTTCCTAAGCCATTGTTCCGGAGCTTAAATGGTACAATGCAGACGTTTTGCGCTTTGTTCTCGCTGATGACTTATGACGTTTTAACATATGTTCCCAATGCTAACAAAAACCAACTTATCTGATGCTACGTACAATGTGCATTAGGAATTTCCTTCAGTTACAAGTTTAATATTTTTTAATTACAAAAACTAATGTTAATTTATAAGTTTATTTTGGTGTTAATATTTTTTAGATAAATAAAAAAATCTCTTTTTCTATAAGCTTACGTCTCAGAAAGTGCAGTTCTGTAACTATTATATAGTGTCAGTTATGTGAAGTATTTATGTAAAATAATGTTTTAATTACCTTGATGGTGTGCAACTTTATAAAGGACATAAAAACTTAAAAGACGTAACAATCGCATCGTAAAATAATTCGTGTATGTGCTGCTAGTCATGAAAATGAGACTTTATCGTCTTATTAGTCGTGTTGCGTTGACAATACTTTGAAGTTAGCGAGACTAGTGAGATTATAAGCTTTAATTATAGCGGTTATTATCAGACGAAATACACGTTTATTGATATTAATATTTCGGCGTTAATTGCTATAATGAATGTATTTTTTCATTTGAACCAGTGGTCACGCATCAGTTGACACGCAAGCGATCATAACTTTGGGTAGATGATATACTTAGTAACTTTTTTGTAATTTTTTTTTTCATGAATTTGTCTTGCCTCTATCGATTTACCTCAAGACTTGTACTATTGAATTTTTTTTTAATTTAGTGTTATTCCTTTGAGGTATTTTTTTTTAATCTGGTAAAGGTTTAGACGTTTGGCGGTAAAATTTAGTTTGGTACAACGATTTTTGCCATAATCCCATAATTTTCGCTCGCTGATTTAATTATCCATTTATGGCAACAAAGATTTTGCGAATGTAGGTAATCCCGGCAGCGCGTAGCGTAACGTCTGAGCGAATCCGATGAAATGTCTTGCAACAGCTTACAGGTCACGCGGCAAATGAGATTATATAATCTCTCAATCCTCGTTAATTAGAACCCTTAAGTGGCCTCGTGGTCTGAAACAAGATAATCTAAATTAAATAATACCTGCTAAACTGTGACCGGGAGACGATTGCAGACCTGGTGTCTCCCGGATTATATCACTCGAAAATTACACCACGTGTAATTGGACTTTATTACTAAATTACAACGAGCTCTCTCTGAATTAAAGTAGCTCTTTCGATCACACGATTTGAATAAAACTGCCCTGAGTAAATCTCAGATGCAGCCGTCCGAATCAGCGATGAAGTCGTAATTAGTAGAAAAACAAATGTTGGACCCCTGCGAAGTTTTCGCATGAAACGTGTCGTGTGCCGGGGTTGGAGCGCTGCCAGCGAGGGGATTCGAGAAAGACTAAAATATCTGTGTGGGTGCGAAATGGTTAGCCTCGAGATTTTACATGAACATGCTACGAGCTTTCTCCACAATAAATGTTGATTCGTACCGAAGGAATTTGTCATCGTGCGATCTGGCGAATTTTCACTGACGTAACCGCGTCAAAAATGAAAACAGCAGACCTTGAATTTATCCGCCTAGATGAGTAACAATCACAAGTGCAACAACCTATTTAAGGTGCGTGGGGTGGTAATCGGCGATTATGAAAACAGAAATAGAGAGACACGCGGTATTTACCTGTTTCTAAATTAATGTGCCAAACTTTTGAGATGTTAGCTAAGAGCGGCGCCAACGAGATGTCCTGCTATATTTTAAGAAATGCCTTTAAGGCAGCCTGGCATACTACTTGGTGTCAGTTTGTGAAACCTTGACGAGCTATAAATGAAACAATTTACTAATTATGACATTTTCCTGAATTAATTTATTAACAACGTAAGGTCATTTGTCGGTATTTTTTTTCAAGCTATTAAATTTGGAATTAAATTGATTTTATTAAAAAAAATTGTTAATGTCAACAATTTAAATAGCTCTTGAATTCATTTTAAGCTCGACTCATAATGGGTATCTATTTCTAATTGCTTCCAGGAATACTCCTCAATAAAAAGTATTTAAAAACTTGTGAACTAAAATTCAAATGAGTCTTCTCTCTTTGTCATTTTTTCTTCTTTTCTAACATAAAATGCATTTTGATCTGAAAATAAATACGCACCGGAAGGACGACACGTGCTCAGTTTCTCTCTGAGTTTTTTTAAAGTTTGAAAGCATTTTTTAGAATTTCAGGCTTTTGAAATTGTGGGCAAAATCGATAGGTATGTGATGTAAATATAAATTAAACAAAATATACATAATACCAAAAAAAAAAACAAAACAAAACGAGAGTTTATGTTTGCGAAACGAGAATCGAATTCGAAAAGTGGAAATTTATGGTTAAACAGTGTGGAATGTTATATGCGAAACAAAAGGCTTTCCAAATTACAGATTGCATTTTATATGTGTTACGCAGCGAAATAATCCAATTAGTCATCTGGAAATGGCCTGAAACAAATATACGTCCCCATTATTTCAGACTTTTTCACAATAATCAGTCAATTAACAGCGCTATTCTCCGGACGATTTTGACAAATTCACGAATAATTATCGCAATGGACATTAAAACGTTCGTTTGCAGCCAGACAAATAAATTGTTAAGTGTTTTAGTTGAAGCCTTAACCTTGCGGAAGGATAACTGGGGAGGGCCCGCATGAGGGCTAGCTCGATGCAGATGAATCACTACTTTTACCTTCAAATTTATCAAGTTAACTTTAAACTGCAAGTGGAAACTGAACCTCGGTTTTAATGTTATAATAACTTAACCGAGTGTGAAAGTAGATGATAAACTCCGTTCTTCCTATCAAAAGCTCGTGTTGACATAATTTTATTAATGTTGGAGCAAGTGGAAGTGAAGTATATGATTCATTCGGAAGGATTTTACCAACAAACAAAAGTATTAGACTTAATCCTGTGATTCTCGTTTGCCAAAAGGATAAACCCAAACTTTACACAAAAAATTAATTAACTGAATATTTAATTACAAGAAAAGCTCGGCTTGTAATGTAGATAAAAGTGTGAAAATAATTTATTTATATTTAGAACAAATTTTAATTAAAAAACCCTTTCAACGGTGGTAATTCACCATTTTGTTTCAGTTCCAGCAAAGGTGATTTGGGCCGTTTTAGGCAAGGATGTGGAATTACCATGCGACGTAACCCCGCCAATACCCAGCGATAACGTTAAGATGGTGTTTTGGTTCAAAGATACAAATGGAATGCCCTTTAATAGGTAAGTTTTTCATGCAACTCTCGATATTTTACGAAAAAGGATTCGTAACAAATCTAGGAAAATATTGGACAAACACGCCACAAATCCGTGACTTTTCGATATTTATCTGGACGGGAGGACTAATACCGCTACTTGAACTGATTATACGATCTATCAGGATTAGTGTAGCGATAAACAACTAGGTTATGTCGGCTATTAGAACGCGGATTTGAACTGAAAGGACGATTTGCAGCCCATGTTTTAGACGCCATGTTTATAAGCTTATTATTTCTTGTTAAAGGAAATTTAAATTATTGTATCTACAAAAATTTCGAAGTTATGAGAGTTTAAATTTTGCACTTTGACTCTGTTTATAAAATAATTTCTCAAGTTTTCTGCTATAGGCTATTAGAAGAAGAAACAAGGAAGCTGTATCCTGTTCTGTTAACGTCTGTTTAATGTCATTTATGGCTTTTATTGGCAAAATTTTTGTTCTTTTACTAAATAATTATAATAGTTATTTATTCGACGAGTTTGAGTGTAAATCGGACTTTTTATTTGACCAAGTGGATTTTTAAACCACGAGTGTAACGAGTGGTTTACCATCCACGAGGTGGAATAAAGCGTCCGATTTACACTCAAACGAGTGGAATACAACATTTTATTCTTCGAATTAGAGTCAACAAGGCTTAAACTTGCTTTAAATCCGTTAAAAATAATTTGACGTTTTGTATTGAGAAATGCCAAACAGTTGTCAAAACTTCCTTACACGGGAGAAAAACCGTAAATTTTGACAGTGTCGAAGAATAAAAAAATATATATCAAAATCATCAGTATCATTAAAAAAATGTTAAATGTCAGAAAATAAATGTCAAAATTTTTTGACAGATACAATTTTTTAAACATTTTTTTTCATGTTTCTGGTATCTTATCTTGCTTGAAATTTTTCACTGGAGCGCGAGTTCTGACACACCCTGTATGTATTTAATTTATAAGAATTATACACAAAATACGAGTAATGTGGGGTTCTGTACAAAAAATATGAAGTCACAAAGAGCTTAAAGGATTTTTTTATCCCTGTGGAACTGGAAATATATTTAACACTAGAATATAAAATGAGTCTTATTTCAAAAGCTATCGATTGATACCAAAAAATACATCACATGGAAACTTTTTCTTCTTTGGTGGAATATTAGCTTGAGTTAGTTTTTCAGTTAAATCTGTGTTATCGTTCGAATCATTGGCTGAAAATGTATGGCGTGTATGAAGCGTTCATGGGAGCAGAAGAGCTGTATCCGGGTTCGCATTCAATTACTTTACAATGGATTGAACTATGTGCTCGATATCGCATTGGTAGCCCCTCGAGTGTCGTTTTTACAAAGTGGTATCATACTTTATATCGGATTAAAATTTAATGAATTTTCTTCTTTCCAATTTAACTCGTGTGCTGCTTTTATTAAGAATGGAATCGGTTTTATGTACACTTTTATGCACATTTCATTTTAATATTCATCGGCTAACCGCCCGCTACAATGTGTCGAAATTCTTCTTCTTTGAGTAAAAGTGATGAAACGGCTCTCAATATTTGATGTGCCGTCTCCAATGATGGCTTTTGCGAGTTCAGCAAATTACCGAACGCAGTCTCCTGACAGCAGCCAATAAACGTGAATGTTTTATTGTGCTATTAAATAATCCATTTGAATTCTGATGCTTTGAATTGGCGGCGAATTTTTCTCCGATGTAATTATCGAGCATGTCAACGTTTCGATTCGGAGATATGTGAAATCTGCCGATGATCAATATTGGCATTGTGTTGAGGATTTATTTCGGAAAATGAAGAATCGATCTGCTACGGAAGCGAGCTGTGGAGGATCCGGAATATTTAACGCAGCTCCGGATATATAAATCAAAGACCCGGCCAGTACAGCAAATTGCTGACTTCACTACTTTCCTACAAATGCTGCAAGGTACAGGATATGCCGCCAGCACTGGTTTCCTAAATGTAATCTTACTTTCCACTACACAATCTCTATTACTACGATCGCAGCAATGACGAGCATAAATTCAACAAAACAACAAAAGTTTATCTAAAACAAACGAAACTTTTGTATTCTACAAACTTGCATTGTAAATGTGTAATTGTTTAAAAAGAAAACAAATAATGAAATTAATAAGTAATGGAAGAAATAAATATTTGTAGATATGAGCTGACGTTTTCAAACTCTGGAAAATATACAATTATATTGAAAGTAAAGAATATATATGAAAATTCAGGTAAGTTGAGGTAATTTTATCTTAAATAAATAAATATTGCCTGTAAATATATGTATACCGCGTGATTTTAAGATATATGCTAATATTATAACAGGTGATAATAGAGCTCAAATGAAGTCAAATAACTTGCCTTATCCGAATGTTTATAGTTTTTGAAATATAGAGGGTTTGTTCGTAGAATAATTTTAAATTGGGACACAGCCTAAAACTTCATCAACTCAAATTGTAAACAAAGATAATTTCTGAGGTTAGCTCTTCAAAATATTCTTTCTTGTACAAAAAATTGGATTAAAATCAGCAAAAATAGGCATACAAACAATATAAAAAATATCATAAAACGGTAAAAGTTCTGGATCACTTTTTTTGTTGAAGATCACTCAATTTCATTATCTTAAATGTTACAGATTATTAGCAATGTAAACTTTGGAATAAAGTACTCAAAAAGTTTGTTTAAATTACATTTTTTGTCAATTTTTCTGAGGCCAAAATGGAGGTTACACAATCTATATCTCAAAAACTATATATAAACATTCGGATAAGGCAAGTTTAATTGTTTAAGCTTCCTTTGTGCTCTAATATCAGTTGTTAAAATATTTGCACGTATCTTAAAATGACCCAGAATATGGCGAATCTGTTTTAATTAAAAGTAGTTTTGATTACTTTTAAAAAATTTGGATTATTTGAACTATTTTTAGTTCTGACGGTTTTATGACCTCACTTATGTGTGAGGAGACAACTAAGAAAATTTTAGTTATTTAGATCGTATAGTGGATCTTTTAGGACTAATGAACATATTTTTAGAAAACTAAAAATAAGCATTAAAAGATTGGTTTAAAAAATATTGTATTGGTGGTCTTTTCTGATAAAATCCCGGTAAACCCCGCTAATATTTAACTGCACAGGTGCAGATCAGTTGCGAACATTTTACATTCCGTTAACAGCTAAACGCTCTCTGTGGTTTTACAAATTGCCTGCATTTTTTTAAAATTTATTACACGAGGTGAAAAAATTCTCACTTTATCTGGTTTGATTAGTTTCAAATTTATAAATGGAGTTAAATTGTAAAAATATGGTCGAAGTCAGTGCAGCCAAGTCGGTGACTTCGAGAATGAAAAAAGAATTTATTTTTAAACTAAAGTTCCTGTTGGTGCTCAAACTTTTCCAGCTTTCTTTCATCTTCGCCAACAATTCAAAAACACAGTCGTTGAGTCAAATAAAGATTCGGTTCCGGATTTTTTAACTTATAAGTAGCTGCAAATGATAACTGTGACACGAGAGAAATAAATTTAGTTTTATTTTTACATTTTATATTTGCTAAATAAGTATATGAAAGTTTTTTAATGTGAAAAGTGTCTCAAAATAGAGGAAAAAAGTTTGACTTGGTGGTGTCGTGAGTGCTTTCTGCGTTCACAATTTATGATATGTTTTTTAGCAGAAGCTGAAATGAAGTGAAATATCTTGCGCAATATATTTATGATTGGTTGTAAATCACTTGTACTGGATATGTGAAATATGAACTTGAAGGATTTGGAGTGAATAGAGCCGCAATCGGTTGTTTTGTTCGTCGGCATCGACGACTAGATGACGTGTCATATCGAGTCGGAAATTTATCAGAATTCTCCGCGACAGTTTAGATGCATTAGGCTAAAAGCTCACGGTTGCATCAAATTTCCATCCTCAACCATTGCACTTTATGGGAAAGCACATATATGCGAGGTAACGCGTCAAAGATCCGGCAAAACTATAACTCACAACGTCACATTTGTCACTGATAGAATTACAATCTTGTCGGGGCCTCATGGGTACAAAAACCCGCTATTGTGACAATATGATAAGATGCTAATGAAGAGGAATTGCTCAATTTTACGCCGAATTATTTGTCATGGATGTGCGGCTTTAATTTATTTCGCTCTACGAAAAAGTAAATTAAATATAAAGCAGCGAGTTTTTATTTGCTGTTAACTCAACATTTGCTATTTATCTTTTTATCGCTGTGGTTTTTGCTTGCAGCTTAGATGCCCGGGGCGGACCTCTCAGTGAAGCCTCTCAGCTGGTAATGAGTGATGACCTCGGATCCCGCTCCTACTTCATCAAAGATGAGCAACCCTCCAAAGCCAGGCTCAGGATACGTAATGTTGCCATACATGATGAGGGAGTCTTCAGATGCAGGGTGGACTTCGATAACTCACCAACCAGGAATTTTCAAGTTAATCTGACATTAGTAGGTCAGACTCCAATACTGATAAAATCACTTTTGAAGCACTGCAGTTAAGCTCTAAAATACATATTTCGAAATATTTATTATTGATTTCAAACTTTTTAAATTATTTACCTCAGAGCAAATATTTAAAGTAACCCATTTGACTTCTTGGCACACAGCCAATCAAATCTTAAATTCACTAAAATCTTATTAATGACTTTTAATTTAATTGATCTACGTATTCGTAACTACATGATTTAATTTTCCAAGTTTACACAAATTTCTTGATTAAAAAAAAAAGATAATCAGAATATGTTATTTGATCTTTGTCTGTCAAATAGTTTATTTAAGTTGTTACATGTTTCGGCCAAATTTTTTCTCTTATCTAAATCACGATCTCTTACAAAATGGATCAATCGATAATAATTAATGAAAAAATTAGTTTTACCATGCACTTTTTTAAGTAAAACTAATTTAGGTTTACGAAATCGTAAAGATCAAGATGCAAATGTTTATCTCAGATTTTGTGGTTACGTTTTAGTGCAGCCATCTGTCCCCAGAATTTTTAATGCCGAAGGAAACGAAATTAAACGGAACAGCAGCGCGGGACCCTTTCTGGAGGGTGATGAGCTTTTTTTATCTTGCCAGGTTACAGGTGGTAAGTGACAAAATCTATTGTTGTAGTTCAATTTAGTTCCAAGTTTTAATGGGTATTTTGACACCTTCAACCACATATTTTAAGCAAAATTGAAACGTTTTAGAATGTGTTTAGTTTGCCAAATAACTCATTATTTTAGTTTGCACTAGAAAATAACACTCTTTCAACTTTTTTTTTCTTTTTTATGACCTTCTTAGTGTCTTTTTACCTCTTCTCAACTGAGGATGACCACTTTGTGGTCGAAACACGTAATGGTTAAATAGACGTTTGGTGTTTATGTAAATTATGCGAATTATTTCATTGACGGCACCAAGAGATCCAGATTTTTTTTTAAATGTTGAAAAAATAAGTGGGTGTTATTTTATTCTTTCAACAATTATTAAAATTAACCAAAACCGCAACTAAATTATAAGGGTTGAAGAAACTTATGACATGCATTTTAATGCTTAAATTTCTTTCCGGTTGTCTAAATACATTCAGAAAAGTTTATTTGTTTGTTTCCAGGTCGTCCACGTCCTTCCCTGACCTGGTGGCACAACGACACCCTTCTCGACGGCGTTATTGACTCTTCTAAGACTTCTTTCACCACTGTAAACCAACTAACAATTAGAAACGTTTCAAGATCATACCGAAAGTCTCATCTTGAATGTAGAGCATCGACTTCAGCGATCGCTGGCGATGTCGTCCGTGTCGTCCCAGTCGTAGTTTTTTGTAAGTAAATTAATACAACTATGATTTATTGCTTCCGCACGGAATTCACTTATTCAAACATTGAAAGCTTCACCTGTATATTCAGTGGCAATTAAAATTTTCACGCTTGATTTACCATTTGTGTACCCTGCGAAATAAATGTATATCGATTAGAATGAAACAAAGGCAAATATAATATTTAACTTTGAAACTTCACCAAATGCAATAAACGTAAATTTCACATTGTTTCATTTCCCCACGGTACAGTTTGGCATCAACATCGCAAAGGCTTCGTGGGGTGGAAACGAATAAAATTCTCAATGTGACAAATTTATCCAGAATTTTGCCTTTAAAAATAATCAACATTCAGAACTCCGGATAAGTTTGTTATTTAAATATTGAAGCTACAATGAAACTGGATCTTTACGCGGGTTTTTTTGTTTCAGTGAAACCCAACAAGGTTAAAATCGTCACTCCCAATGATTTGCTCTCGACACGTAAACCTCAAAATGTTAAATGCGAGTCTTCCGGATCCTATCCTCCAGCAAAATTAACATGGCTACTTGACGGTAAACCTATTAGGAATGCTGTTGTTACGGTAAGTGTGTTTAGAACCTTTTAAGAGAATAAAGGATGCACCAAAGTTACATCTTTTCACATTTTCACTAATTTTGCAGGAAGAAGTGACGGATTTGTTTACGGGAAGCATCATTTCATTAAACGTGGTGGCAGACAACGACGGCAAAGATCTAGTATGCCGAGCGAACAATCCGCGATTTCCCGGGGGTTCTCTCGAAGACAGACGACAGATACATGTTGCTTGTAAGACTTTTTATTTTTATTTTTTCGGTCGCTTACCACCTGTTCGGATAATTCTTTTCTAGTAATTTAAGTGAATAATGCTTTTATCGTGTATACTTCAAACTAATCAATTCTCGATACATGCCAATTTATATCAAATGTATTATATATCGACATTTCGCATTTTTAGAAGCGAGCACTTTAGAGAATTTACATAAATTAGTTTTTGTTGACAGTACCTACGATACAGGCAAATGTGTTTAAAACAGGATCATCATAAAATTGACAGAGCTGTAAAGAACTGCAATAATATGTCTTATTATAATTTGCAGCTTGTAATAAATTGTACTAGTCCACAACTATAATTTAACACACACGTAAAAAGATGATTGCAATAATTTCAAATGTCTTGTATTTTTGGAAAAATTATTTAAAACTTTATTTATATTTTGCTTAAAACACATTTCCCGGATTGAGTAGGTATACAAGAGGAAAGAAAATTTATATTTACTTGCTGGAAAGAAAAGTTCCTTACTTGGACTTTTTTCTAACATACAGAAACACGTTCGTTATCTATAAGAAAAAAAGAATCTATAAGAAGAATTTGTCGGAAATATTATATTCTTATTTGAGAGAAACAAAACGCAATCCAAAATGCCATATATCGTTGCATGTAGCACGGGCATAATTGTCGATTATGGCTCTTAGGAAGTTAAAAGCCTTTCTAACGTCGTACTTTAAACATTCTTTCGGGCCATAATCTCTTAATTATGCCTTTGGTACACAAATAACTATTATTATATTGATTAAATTATGCTATTTATTTTGGCGAACTGCTGCTGTTGTGTTAATTAAATATCAATAAAAATTCATGCAACATAAAATTCATATTAATTAGGTCAGGACATTAATATAAAAACTATTATTGTAACGAATTTTAATAAGTTCAACTTATAGTGGAGCAATTTGAATGCATATTCTCTGTATTTAATTATCGACATAACATTTATATACGTTATGTGAATAATGACACTCACTAATTAATTTAAATTCACTATGTTTTCGTTGGTCGTAATGAATAAATTAATTTTCGTCTAATGATAGAGTGATATCCATAAATAAATAAGTTTTTGCTGTTCAAAATTTGTAATGAATGGAAAGGAAAATTCAGCATTAATACCAATTATATTTATGTCACTTAATGATAGCGGTTTGCTTTTTCTTTCAGTACTAAATTATATTTGTTTATAAAGCAATAATTGGGAAGTTGGCAATAGGACAAAGCCCGGGTCATATTTTCGCCCCATTCGCAATCTGTTACACCGCAGCCGTTAACCTCGTCAAACAAATATAGGGGTTGCACCCCCGTAATAGTCGAATGACATCGAATTAAACGTGTTGCCGGTGTCTGGCGACTAAGTCCCTTATTTAATGAAAGTTTTCAAAGAGCTCAACGAAATGCGCGAGCTTTCTATTAAAACAGTTTAGTAGTAGCAAGAGTAACGTTGCGGATGTCTTTAACAAAGCTAACTCAAGCTTTTTCCCGTGAGACATGCACCGAATTCGGGATGACCCTGGTTTTGGAAACCGAGCATCACAAATACGGCTGTTTGTATTCTGATCGTTTGCTCGCCCAAGTTTTGTATCTTCTTAACTCCAAGATGGTGTGTAATCACTTTAGAGGTGGGTTGAACAGTACGAGGGAAACATGGCTTTAATTGATTTAGTACGGGATACACTTAAAACACCTTGAATTTAAATAAATTTTCATTTCTAAAGCAGAAAGAATCGAAGACGCGAAAACGTTTTCTTTTGTATAGGAGCAATGGGAATCTATATAATGGGCGCGAATACAATTTTTTCATTGGTTTGGGAACTTTTTGGCACATGGCATAATACCGGGATTAAGGATAATGACATGGACGTTATTACAAGCGCACGTGCGAGGACACTTCACCGAAGGGTTAATGGCGACACTGGGGCCAAACCTGATCTTAAAACGCAATCTCGTTTGCAAAATTTTATTGAACAGGAAACTACATATATTCGTATTTGTCTATTTTGGACAATTATTTTCTAGTATTATATTAAGAAAAATCTCAAATATTTAATTTATTTTTTAGTATTACATATTAATCTAATATTTATTTTGAAATTATTATTGATTTATGTTTTTATGTTTCATTCTAAAAGTGGTTTTAATAATTTGAAGCCATTTTTTTTTAAAAACAAAGTTTGCAGCGTTTCGACAAGTTGATTTAAACCAAAGGCTTAAAATAAAAGTAGAATTCTCTCTAGACCTGTTGGGAAATTTAAATGAATCTTGAAGTTAAATTTAATTTACATAATTTTTATTTAAGAGAAAAATTAAAAACACTTCTCATATAGATTCTCATATAGATGAAACGATTTTTTTCCTACTTCTATGCCGATTTCGGCGTGTTTGGTAAAATGTGCCTAAATCAATTTTAGTTAGGTAGATAGGCATTATATACCTATTTCTAATTATATCTTACTATTTGATTTCTAATTTTGTTTTAAATACTGTAATCTTAAAATCACCAGTGTAGGAATATAATATATTTAATTAATTTTTCTTGGACTTGTGTTAAAGTCCATAGTTACAAATTTACTTCATTTAATAGCGCACATTTTTCTTTGCATATACATATTTGGAAACAACTCATATGATTTTCATAACAATGAACGTGTTTGTTAGTAGATATAAGTTTACATTTCATTACAATCTCGTCTTGTTTTGCTTGTAACGTAAGATTGGCAAAAATATCCTCATTTTATTACAAAACCGTTGTTAGCTAATTTATTTAATAAACTCGTCATGCACAAAATTGGGACTAAGAGCAGCATAATGTATACCTTCTGTAATCCAGTTAGCTGTGGTTTCTATTCCAGGACATAGTCTGACCTAACATTTGTCACAAGATCCGCATGAAGCCACAAGGACTGAGCTACGGCTATGAGCAAGCTTACCTTATTCCTTAAACACATTAAACTTGCCGTACGTCATCAAAACTCGAAAGAAATTTCTGTGGATGCATTCTAATTATAAAGAGTGCAAAATCTCATTTCGCAAAGTACTGGGAAAATTTTAAACCGCGAATTCTCCATCAGAGATTTGAAATGGATGTATTGTCGTCTACAAAAGTAAAAATATCACTTTTCTCGTAATTGGCTTCAGAATTCTAACGAATCTTCTGAAAGCTAGTTTAAAAAAATCGTAAAAATATTACGATACCCTCCTTTAACAATTTGCGTTTGAAGGGTACAGGAAGCTCGCTTGAGTGACTTATAAAAAGTAGATTTTATCCCCCGATAGCGTGGTATGGTTATTGTTGTGTCTTTTTCCGGATCCACCATATGCTTCTGCTGTTGATAAAACTTTCTTTTTAGTGGCTAAGGAGTTGGCTCAAAGTTTACAAAATGCCGAGTTTTATCAACAGCACACGGTCAACTCGACAAAACAAGATGAATGCTAAAAGTAGGCAAGAGAATACGATTACTGCTTTTACTCAAATACTTGGAGCAAGTTTGAGACTTTGCGCGTTTTACACCGAAGAGAAAAATTTCATTTTGCTGATTCAAGGAACAAACTTGGACAATAAGACAATAATAAAATACAATGAAATTATTTTAATCAATGACTGACATATTGAGGAATATAAATTTCAGAGGCGTCTGTTGTCAGTTTGATTTACAAAGCTTTGATATTTTTATATTTGAATCAAATATACCTACCTATAAGGACTGTTTTCTTAAGAAAATCGTTAAACATGCCTCTTTAATTTTTTTCTGCTTTGTGCTTACATGAATTCCAAACAGAACAAACGAAACATAAGGACGAACAATTATTTTTCAACGAAAAAATTAAATTTTAAAAAATGTAACCAAAAACAGTATGAAATACATATTTTACCAACTTATTAAAAAAATTATTTGTGCTTTTTTTGAAAGTGTTTAAAACTACCGGTATAACTGCAGGACTATTGTTTCAGATCCTCCCAAAGTGTCGGTGAAGTTGGACTCAGGGGTAAATTTTCCCGTTAAGGAGGGAACAGACGTTACCCTTCGTTGCGATTCTTTGGCACGACCTAGTCCCTATGATTATAGGTGGTATCACGATGTAAGTAGGCAACTTCAATTACATTTTCTACAGCCCTAGATCAGGTAACCAGTGTAATAGTAATTTTGGGAGAAAAATACTAAAGACGACCCTGTGGCGTGAAATTAAAGTAACTCGAACGTTATTTACATAAACAGCCCCTTAATTGAATACTGGAGCGAAACAAAATGTGCAATTGTTATTCAGTCCATTGTATTTTTAGAGTTCAAAGTAAAAGTATTCTAATGTATGCGGAAGCTATGCAAAAACCCCGTTGAAGTCTGTTGAATTCCCAATATAAATAAAAATCGAAGGAAATATGGAAATTAACTTGCCGCATGCTGAACTCCCCACTTATATTTTTGCTTTAATATTTTCATTGTGCCAGTGTTTTCTTCTCATAAATATGTATCTTTCGAATTGGCTACTTACACTGCACTCTTGCTTCGGAACTGTTTTACGGTCTTAACGAGATTACAAATGGCGTACTCTTTTAAAGCTTTAGTTAACATGATTTTATAAATTATTAATAGCATTGTTACATGGATTTCAACGCGAAAAAACGCAAAGAAAGTGTCTTTCTGCCGATTAAAAGTTACTAAACAAATCACAAATACAATAAATATTATTCGACCGACTTTGCGGCAAAATTATTTATTACCAAGCCTTTGAAGTGACAGCACTCGATCAAAATTTTTCGCAACACTCACCGCTCGAGATCGTCTATTTGCTTATTTTTCTGTCAATAACGTCATTCGTTAATAACGAATCTTGTTTTTACGACTCAAATATGTGATTTATTTTGACGCTTCTTTGAAGTGGTACATGATAACATATTAGCCAACTGAAAGAAAAAATAAATGTACAAAATAAAATTGCTTTACATTTACATTTTTTTTGTTGCAAGTTGCAATCTAATTTGTTTTGTTTCGCGGATATTATTCGATATACGGGTACACCGTTCAATATTGGTTAAATCTGCATTTATAGAAGTAAACCGTCTGTGCACAAATTCGAGCAAATCCGACGACTAAATCAAAACCAGACAGACAATCTTTTCATACTCTTCACGTCTCTACAAGATATCTATATCTCTGTCATGTTTTTTTTCACATAAACAGATGTCTTTCGTTTGTTTAAGAGGTTAGAATACGTTTTCTTTTCCTCACTTGTGACACGATGAGTGAGCCGAAAACTCAACATTATTGCAACTACATGAATGGGTTTGAATAATAATAAAATTGCTACAGCAAAAACATAAAATATATTTCAAGCTTCAAAACGTAAGCAAAAATGCGATTTGGGATATTTACTTACACTTACTCCGCGTCTATATTACTTTTAAAATTATTTAATAACAGCTTAGGAACTTTAGTTTAATAAAATACTTGTATCAAAGATAATATTAAACTTAAATTAAAAAAATTAAAAGCTAGATCACAACGAAGGTTTAAAAAATACTTTTTTTCTCGATGACAATAAATTTATAGTTACATACAGTGGCTTAATAAAAATTAGTCTTATAATTGCTGCAAATTACAAAAAAATATTAAAATATGTATAATTTTTCTACCACCCTAACCACCATAATTTCAAAAAGCAATGTGTTTAATTCAAAATTCTAACAAAAATATATGTAAGCTGTCAGGGACGTTAAAATTGTACCTCCCCCATAAAAACAAAAAAACATGTTTCTATATTTAGGTGAAACTGAGATATATATTAACAAAATTGTTAGTTTTGAAGTTTTTTTTGTTGGATAGTAGAAAAAATTATATGTACTACACTTGAGGAAAGTGTCTTTTCCTCCCTGGCTGGTTACTGTACTCTACATATTTCCACCTGTAGTAGGAAAAAATATACTTTTCTTGCTTGTAATACAAATAACTATTTACAATCATCTGTGACGTTGAAATTTACGCATCGAAATTAATCCGCAAAATTAGCCATTTTTCCACAACAATGCGTGACGTGCTCATTTCACACCCTGACGGCATTTCACGTACTGCATTTCACACGCCACAATTTGACAGTAACGGACGACGAAAGACGTATACCGGTAGGAATAGAAAGCTGTGTATGAGTTTTAGCAAGGTTTTGTATAAATAAAAATACCGTTTTTAAAAACGGTAAAAAAGTTTAAACTTTGTGGACATATTTAATTATTTGGAAGCACTCATTTCAGTAATTACAATGTACACAATAGTTTAGTTTACATTTTTCGCTAATTTGTTAAATCACACCAGATGTCGCTTCAGATTTCTGCGATCGCCTATAGAAATAGGAAATAGAAAGAATAATAGAAAAAACGCTGTTGACATGTATTATGGTGCATTTTGCAAACTTAACATAAAACATGTATTAATTTGGCGTTCGTAATAACTTTTTTAAGGTGTTTATGTTTGTATGGTGTGTATTTTAATTATAACTATTTATTAAAGTTGAAAATAATAAAAATTGAAAATAATAGATGCAAAACATTTGAGTATTGTGAATTTGTATGTATTATGAATTTAACCCGGCACCTCCACCATGTTCCTTAAAATTGAAGCAAGATTTAATGTTAATATTATTATGTACATAGATTAGCTTTATGTATTTATAAATTTTTGTTACAGCTGTTTAAACAAAATATTGTAATTGGAGTTGATGTATTGACTATTTTTAATCAAATAGTTATAATAATCAAGATATTTTATTCAGATCCATATTTTTATTTTTAAAGAATAAAGATAACCTTTATCTAAACTCAAAAACATTTTATCAGATAAACATTTATATCTGTATTGAAAACTCCGCTGGCTTATTGTTTATATTATACATACATTTAAGTTTCTCAAGTTTGAGTAACTAATTTTTTTAATATTAATATTTCTCAGGACCATAATACGAAAGTAAATTTCCATACAGTTAATTACCCACAAAAATTTACGATTTTAAACTAATCGTGTTATTTTCCTAATACACACTTATGGGATGTGCCACGTCTGGCACGTGGCAAATGATTGGCTGTTTGTTGGCATGTGCTTTTCTTTTGACATCGTACAAAACTGACGCAAAATTTTGCGCCAATTAAAACCATAGACTATTTAAACCTAAATCACCTTAATTCAGGAAATATTTAATGTTAATAGACCCTCAATTTATTACAGCCGATTTTAAATCTTTAACAGAAACATTAAATTATTTAATTAAAAATAATGGTGTTTTTTGTCATGAAGTCGTGGAAAAAACAATGTACATAACTCGTTAGAAAGTGTCTAACGCGCCCGTAAAACTTCTGCACTTGGTTGACGCTTTGTGTATAAGGTTCCCCACTTATGTGTTATTTGTCACTCTCCGTGCTCGTTATGTCATATAATCATATAAACTTCGGTGCACCATCAATTTTTAATTTTTTAATTTTAGCACTTATATAAAGGACATTAACTTAAAAAATAGAATTAGATTAAATATTTATAAAAACGTATTATAATACAAGGTGATTCACGAGGAATAATGAACCTGACCAAATTCTCGATGCAACCACCATTACATTTCGCAAGTTATTTTGCGACAACCGAAATTATTTTTAATAAAAAAAATAAAAATAAAAAATTCTCACTTTGGAGATAGAATATTTATTCTGAAACACTTGTTTCTTATATGTTTTGCATGTATTTTCATTCTATAACAAGTGACTGAATGAATATTCTGTAATTATGCTCAACAAAATACATACATTGGCATGGATTTCAAAAGTATCAGTGTCAGATATCAATGTCAAATAACTTTTTTGTTCAGTTTTAATTGTTTTTGATTCATACTTTCTGGTCGTGGACAAAATACAATCTGTTATTCGGTTAGAATAAATTTGATAAAATTTAAAATTTGATCTACTCCTGGTTTTTATTCTAATTTTGTTACAGAATATACTATTATGTAAGCGTTTATGTGTATAATTTGTCACTTTATACACACTTTGTACAAGAGTTTTTTTTGAAAACCAGTTAGTGTTTGTTGTCATTAATTATTTATCCCTTTATTTTAAAAATTGTTTATTTCTAAATAGTGATTAATATTTAATTAAATCCAAAAGATGCCCGGCATCGTGGCTAATTAAATTATATAAAAATTGAGTGTCCTTTTTTTAGATTTTCGAGTTGAAAAACTGTGAAAGATAAATTCTATTAAGAGGTTCGATCGTTGCAATTCCGGCAGATATAACCCTCTTCGAGTTCCCGTTTCGTCCGAGTAATGTCATTTATCTTTGCATTCATGAAAAAACATCTGACGTTTGGAGTTATTTCCTCGACAAGTATCATAAAAGCTCCGGTCTTTCTTTATCTGTTTTCCTTCGAGTACACGCAGAGTCTTCCAGTCCATTCCTTTAGTCAGTCCACTTAGCACTCGAACGACACCTCAAATCTCTCCCCGCACATTAAAAGTGCATCACTCTTAAAAACTAAACAAGCCGAAGAGATAATGTCCGCTTTTGAACACAGAACACATAACTCTCTCATTCGTTGCCTAGCCGTTCTTTATGAAACCTCACGCACCCTTGGGAAATTCGTAATTTCTTGTTTCTGCTATTTTTCTATTTTGCACTGCGATAAAGGCGTGATATTGCGTTCCACTTTTGTAAAATATCCCCTAACAGAACTGAGATATTACACTTTACAACTAACTTTATTTACACGACCCGAAAACGTATGTTCATGTACATGTCGAAGAAATATTGCTCTGCACTTCAATCGAAACGACAGAATTGAAAGCACTATCAACATGTTTATTATTTAGATTTAAGCCAAATGTGAATGTGCAAACAACTCACAAACACAATTAAAGTTACACTAGTGTGTTGTGTTTATTGGTAACCGGGACTCACACTTTTGTTAACTTTTGTTAAGATAAGTTGTGTACACTTCCAAAAAACTCATTTTGGCCCATTTTTAAAACAATCGCAACGACTGAAAGAGATTCACCAACTTTACTCGAACTTGGTGGTAATTGTTTTGTAAAAGTTTTACGCACTTTCGTCTCTTAAACTTTTAGAAAAACTGGGCTGTTTTAGACAAACGTAAAGTTTGAAAATATTTGGATAACAAAAACTTTTTCTAATTTTTGAAGAAACACAATCTTTGTTTAGCTCAGCTTTCACTCACTTTAAAATTATTTTTATTGCAAAACTTTTGAGAGGAAAATTGAACTGATGACAGTATTTTTGATTGAGAGTAAATAATAACAGGTTGGTGATGATCTGTTGAACTGAATAATTAGAAACACAATGAAATAATTTGTTGATTAAGTATTGAAGTATTGAAACACGCATTCGTGTCTAAAGTAAATTTGTTTTTGTTATGTTGGTGATTTTAATCAACAACGCAAAAATAATTTTGTTTTCTTTTATTAAAATGGTTTTATCGTTATCAAAAAATGACTTAGTTTTCTTATGTACATGCATAAATACGGCTAGTTTTTTAAAATTTAACATTACTTAATTAACTGTGAACTAAATACTGAAATGTCCCAGTCTTATCAGACCTTGATTCTTATGATTATGTTGGAAATATTGCAAACACATTTACAGACTGCGCAGAGCTTGAGCCCTAAAGAAAAATGCCATGTGAGGTAAGATACCAGGAACATGGAAATATGTTAAAAAACAAAGTCATGAGTATCTTTAAATAGACATAAAAAATGTCAAATATCAAAAATTAAATGTCAAAATTCTTTGACAAAATTTTTTAAACATTTTTCTGTATTTCTCGTATCTTATCTTAAAATTTTTCTCTGGGGCGTGAGTTCTTACACACCCTGTATAAATGAGTATGGACCAATTACTTTTTAAAGACAATATAATACGGAATATATTTATTGTTTTTAAAATATAATAAATTGCTTAAGTATTATACACTAAAGATATACTAAATATACAGTATGTCCCCGGATTGACTTTGCAAGAGCAAAAAAAAATTTATCTTTGATTTTACGCCAAAACTGCAAAGGAAAAAAAGTTTTTGCTTTTCTTCAAACCAGCAAATCTGTAATTAAAACTTCATTATTTTAACTCAGTAGAAAGAAAAGTTCATTTTTCTCTTCATTTTGGACTTTTCTCTGCTTTCTCTGCTTTTTAAGTCCGATCACATTGGCGGTTTTATTATTTTGACAATGATGTCACTTTGACAAATGAGTTTACGCAAGTTAAATAAYAAAAATGTTTGTGAAAAACATAATTTTAATAAACAGCAACTCAAAGAAACAGCTTTAAGGTAAAAACCAAAGTAATTGTTAACAAGAACTATCATTATTTAATTAATAAATTATTTGTCAAAGTGACATATAGTTGTCAAATAATTAAAACCGCCAAGACTTAAACAGCAGAGAAAAATTCACTTTTTCACTTTTCACTGAATCAGGATAATGAAGTTTTACGTACGAATTTGTTCGTTTCAAGTGAAGCAAAAAATGTTTTTCCTTTGCAGTTTTGGCCTAAAATCAAAGATAAATTTTTTTTCCTCTTGTAAACTGAAACCGGGGACATACTGTATAGTAAAGAATCACTAAATATAATAAGAATAATCTTGCCCGGCGCATCCCCCACTTTTAATTAATGTTAATAATATTAATACTACGCGTATTACTCTTTTTGCTGTTAAGCTTTTTGTATTAATTACATAACTTAAAAAAAATATTTTCAAAGATATTTTCATATATTATCACTATGAGATTCAATTCCTCGACCTTCGACACGGTCTTATTAATGTATAATACATTGTCTAGTCGATTTCTTCAGCAAGATTTCCGTAAAGAATGAAAGGGATGACGGGAAACGGATATAGGGAACGAGATAAATATCTAGTAAGGCCGACATAGATAACATAAATCCACTGTCATTCTGATGGATTGAAGTGGTAACAGGATGGATGTATGCTAAATAAAAAGTGAACAGTTTTTATTGCCCGTGAAAAGAACAGATTGGTTATACCAACACTATTCTTTAGAGATGCACAAGTCCATGACATATGGCGTCAATTTTGGCGAAAATTGTCTCCTTAGAAAGGAGATGTTTGCAAAGTTTCTCTTGAAGGATCGGCCACTAAGGCGTGAAAAGTGACTTGTGACGCAATTAACAAGTCACGTCAGTTTAAAACTTTTGTTTTTTGCAAGAAAAACACAAAGCATAAACCAGGAGATGTAATAACAAAACCTCGTAAAAAAGGAATATATGACAATAAAAAAATTACTAAAAAAAGTAAGAAACGGTTAGACGGTTAATTATTATAATTTATGTCTTTCAAGTTTTTGCTTCTTGTGTGAATATTTTGTCTTGGTACCGAAATAAATTACTTTTTCGCAAATTGAAGTAAGAAAAGTTAATTAGGAGTCTACTAGAGATCGAAGTAATTTCACTTTGGATGTGACCTAAGTGTCGGTCGATATTGACGTCTTGTGATTGCATTTAACTTGCCATTGCTGGTTATTATTATCTGATTAAATCTGTTTCAATGCTTTGGTATGATTTGCAAACATCGTCGGATGAAATTTCAAATTAACATTGCTGTATTAATTTCAAATTTCGTTTTAGGTAGTCACTATAAAAGCTCAGTTTCTTGTTAATTATAAACCTCCTGTAATATTTTTCGACATATTTTTTGTTGACTGAAATCAGCACCTTGGGAATAAAAAGTCTCTTTTAACCCTTAGTGTACTCATTTCACATCGATTCATCCGCCAGCTGTTATACACTCATCAGAATTGCTGCCAAGTTTGAAAACTTCGCGACCCTCTGTGACATTCATGTCACTAATGATTATATCATTTTGACTCCGCTAATTCCTCTCGTTCTCTCAGATAAAGCCCGCCGATTTTGATTGTTTCAAAACTGCCTTATCATTCAGAAATTTGCTTCCACTTGAGCAACTATTTATTATCTCGAGTGCCATTGTTTGTTTTAATCATCGGGTTTTAGGGATTTTGCAAATATAGCACCAAAATTATTGACAGCTTGTTTTTAAGCCGATCAACTTTTCATTGTTTCGTTTTCCAAACACGGATTTAAAAGAACAAAATAAAACTTTCCCAGAGACCGAGTAAATTCTCACCCGAGACGTTGCAAAATAATTCCGTCGTTATACCCTAATTAAAAAAAATCGTTTCCCTAATTTAATTAAGCAATTTCTTCCAGGGACACCTCGTTGCGCTTAATGAAAGCGGGGGAGTTTTGCCCATCGACCACATCTTGACACTCAAGTCTGTTCAAAAGAGGTCTCAGGGTCAATACGTGTGTTATGCCACAAACACTGAAGGTGAATCGTATAGCTCTCCTTTTGACTTAATCATAAAATGTAAGTAAACAAATTTTCAGAAAATTACGCATACTCACAATGATTAAATTTTTGTCGGAAAATAAGAACACTACAACCTTCGCCAAAGCAATTTGGCTGAACTGCGTGAAAAATTAGAGACATTTGGATTTACTTAATCCAGCCGGGAAGCTTTCTTTGTGTTTTTTATTTCTTTCCCAGCATTATTTATCAATTGGAAAAAAGAAGAAATTCATTAGGATATTTTCAATGATTTGATTTGGCTCGGTTTGTGATACATTGCTGCCTGGTTGAAATTCAGACCGAAAAATTATTAAAATCCGACGTATTCGTTTGTCATCAGATAATTGGCTCGTAGATTTCAGGTACGATTGAAGTTACCGCACTGCGGGAGTGCCGAATAGATACGAGCCGAACAATGGCCTCATAAAACTGGTCATCGAATATTATTATTCCTCGACTTTTTTATTATTATACAAAAATTGGAGTTTAAAATTCAGCCTTTAAAGATAAAACAATACTATTTATAAAGATACATTATTAAATTTACGATTTTTTGATGAAGATTTTTTTGTGATAAATTATAAAAGTATTCGTGGTATTTATAATCGGCGCATATTTTATTTTTAATCCTAAAATAGAATTACACTGTCAATTTCTTCAGTGGTGAATAAAATTTATGATAATCTACCGTTGAAACAACAATAAATTAAATTGTTGAAAAAAATAAAAAGAGGGAAATTAAAAAAATTATAAAACCTTAAATTTGAATTAACACGACCTGTTTTTGATAGATTATATTATTTAAGCTTTTCGTTTAATTGGTTTATCTCCCACACAACAATAATCTTTAGGAATAGGTGTACTCTTACGTAACACCTGAGTAACTAGACTATTGTTGCAGTAATCCTTCTTAACAAGTTTTGAACCGCTTATCTTAGCAGGAGGATAAGTTTGCGATACTTTTGGGGTTAATTCAATTTACAGTTTTTGAAAAGTTTTGATAACATATTAAATGAGAAGAACGATTTAATGCAGCACACCTTGAAAATCCGTTAACTTCATTTTTGTTTTTTATTGTGTTGTAGTTGATATAAAATTGTAGGATACAAAATTTTCAACCTTAGCGTATATTGTTGATAAAAAATTATGTTTTTACGAAAACGTGTCTGTAACAGTGACATTGTGAAAAGACGTTTGTGATTAAAAGCAACAAGGATTTATCGAGCGCAGCTGTTTGAGGTTGCGCTGATGGTAGGAACCTAAATTACAACCTGTGTAGGAACTTTAAATGCCAAGCAATAGTCTGCATAGTTGGATTACAATGGTTCGATTTCGAGTAATACTCGAATAACAATAACGATGTCGATTTTAATCACAGAACAGATGTCGAATATCGAGACGTCGACGTTTCATTATCTCCAACATCCTCGCCAATACTATAAAGGTAATTTAAGTACCCGTTCGACTGCTGGTGGTTTAATTAATTTTCAGTTTCTCTCTCCAGTCGCTTTAAATCAGCGATTTTATTTCATATCTCCGATACAGTTGAATACAGAAGAAAATTTTCAGAACCTCAATTGCCAATTACAGTCAATTAGCTCCCATAGCTGTTTCTGGGCAATTTCGCGACTCAACAACGGTAACCAACAAAACATTAGTGCAGAACGGCCGACGTGAAAAGCATTCAAATCAAAAATTACAATATTTGTTCGAATGAGTTTCCGATTCGCTAGCTTGATTGACACATTAGTCTCGTTCAAAACGCGTTAGAATAGCACTTTTATTGGTTCATCCAGCTGCTTAAACAGTGGGCTGTCGCGTAAAAAAATGAGCAATTTCCGGTGAACTTTGAGCAGTTTAAGATAAAGTTAATTTTTCCTGCTGGAAGAGGGCGGGTAATAAGCAGAAAATCGCCGGCCTCGTTTCAAATGACTTCAATTAAGCGAAAACCAACTCAAATCGCTATTCAAACGCTACATCAAGAAATCAAAATTTATTTGTACAAATTTTTAATAATAGGGTCGAGGCTGCAACGAATCGGTTTTTTCCCTCCAAGAGTGCGGTAGATTAACAACGACTGGCTTCATGTTAAATAGGCATTTACGTGCAATATGTTACACCACGCTGTATTTTGGTGGGCATCCACTCCGTTCAACTGCACACCCTATGCTTCTATCCCCGTGCATGTGGCATGTTAGGCAACGTGCGCCAGCCACAAACGTTCGATTCCCTACAAGCTCTTTAAATGGATAGATCCCACACACCATCAACACACCCCATAGGGCTGAATTAACGCATTATTTAACTAAGAAAACAAACATATTTATTTTATTTTTTAAAATAGAAAATTTTAAGAGCTATCCCGGCGCATCCACCAAATTTTATCTAAAATATAATCTAATAAAATTGATTTTATAAAATGGCAGTAACAAACATACTATGTTTTATACTTACATACAGGCTGAGTCACTTATAATAAAGACCCTGACCGCTTTTTAGACGCAACCCAAAATACATTCTCACAGACAACTTTGCTTTTTGTGCATTTGAAAAATTTAGTTTATTAAATTTGAATCAAAGTAATTGTTGATATGTCATTAGTTAAATTTGACAGTGTCAAAAATTCCATTTTTATTTTCTCTTGAATTCAAAATGTACTCAAACGATGAAAAAACTGACATGATTTTGACAAATGGAGAATGCCACAAAATGTTGTGTCTGAATCTGTACCAGTAGATCGTAGGGTTTAGGTATATCTTTGAAAAATTTCAAACAGAACATTAATTAACGCATAATGGTATCTGAGAATGTATTTTGGGTTGCGTCTGAAAATCGTTTAGAGTTTTTATTATACAGGGTGTTTCACATAATTTTGCGAGGCCTGCGCCTGTAAGATGCAATCAATAATATATATTCCGATACGAACTCGATTACAAATTTTGAAAAATTGGATAATCTTCTCTAGTTTGTTCACCTTTTCAAAAATTACAACGTTTTTAGTTAGTTAGCCATAATCGGTTAGGTCATAGTCTATGAAAATATTTTCAAGATGGTGGTATTTTCGGTTTACCAGAAATAGGTGTTAACTTTGTTATTTTATATGAAAAGCTATATTTTTTATTGCGTTTTTTAATTACCTAAGTAATTTTGTAAGAGTTTTCATCAGCCTTTCCTACCTAAGTTTCCATTATTAACCGTTTTTAAAATGTTTAGACTTCTTTGAGATTTTTTAATTGTTTTTTTTTATTATGAATACACCAAGAGAAAGATCTAATCTTTCTCTTTTATACGCCCAAATACAATTTTAAAATGATTGAAGTAAGATTGGTAAGAGTTATCGATTTTTGAAGAGGACGGTGCAAATCCAAAAATTAAAATTAAAAGTCTAAATTTAAAAACAGTTAAACAGGTACAGGGAAGGCTAATAAAAACTTTCTCAAAATGACTTGAGTAATTCAAAAACGTAATAAAAAATAGAGCTTTCTAACGGTTGTTTTTCTTAAATTTGGCGTCAAAACTATCCATGAAAGTTCGATTGTAAACGAACCATTGTTGAAAGTTATTAATCTGACATTTGACACCTTGCTAGATGTATTGAAATTGTGGTCCGTTCACTCAAAATCACCGTTAACTTTGACTCCAAATTAAAATAAACACCTGTTATTTAAAGTTACAAACTCGACACCCACTTCCGCTGTAACCGGAAGTGCTGCCATCTTGAAAATATTTTTCAAATATTTTCAGGACCTAATCGATTATGACAAATAAAATTGTAGATAATTACTATTGTTAAGAACTCCCAATAATAATTCTAATGTGGGGTTTAGGCGGAACAGCCTGTATATTTTTGTTTAACTCATGAACTTGGAATACTAATAAGAAAATAATAAGAATAATAAGAAAAATTAGTTTTATTTTTAATTTTCGAAATACTAGTTTTTGATCGGTTCTTAATTTTCTTTGTATGGTTTACATGTCAAGGCCGTGTCTGTGCATTTCCAATTAGTATTTTTCTTGTTGCACGCTCATTCTGATGGCTAGTTCCGTTCAAACTGCTTTGGCCAGCACGCTTTAAAACAATTACGGACTCGTGTTGTTTAGTTAATTACTGATGTTTTGCTTGATTGCGCCAGCTTTATCAAGCACCATCTTGTATCAAACGTAAACCAGTATCGAAAAGCACTATAGTGCATGTAAAATGTTTTAATTACATGAAATATTATTACAACAAAATAATTTCTCTCTCTCTCGCCTGCTTACATTATTTTTCTTTTATCTCGTTGCAAAGTAAAAAAAAACAATATTTCTTTTTGCTGTTGCGTTTTTTCTACTGTAAGAAATGATAAATGCCGGAAAAGTGGGTGTGTGACAAAGTCTCATCATCCGGAGAGAAGTGATGCTGAGAACTGGAGTCACGAAGTGCATGTCGCAATAAATCCTACTTATTTATGAAACCAGAAAACTCACAAGACATGACCGTGATAACATTAAGGATATGACAGAAATTGTACCGGAAATCGTCAATACGAATAGCAAAGCTCAAGAATTTGTCAGCAAACTATTAAAGAGTATTTCTGTTTCAACTCGTAAATGTAAAAAATGTTTAAAGACATAAAGTCTGTTTATTTTTTAGGACCATAATAATAAAAAAGTAATGATGATGTGATAATTTGAAAACAAAAAAATCATTATTTGCACAAAAATTCCCTCTAATTATCTACTTGAAAAGTATGTCGAAAATAATTCTTTTTAATAAGAGAGAAAATTTGATATAAAATGTATAATGTACATATTTTATTTTATTCACGTTTATACAGTTGTTACAATAAAATAGGCTTACAATTTTATAAAATTATTTGATTTGTTTTGTTTCACAGTCATTGTCTTTTGATAATGTTTTTATAAGTAGGTACTTATCCTTTCAGTTGCGGTGTATGCGCCTAAATTATTTACAAATTAGCTTGTGAATATTTAAAATTGCATTATAAAGTTTAGATGTTCGAGTAAATTTCCCATTTTAAATGAAAGTAAAAATGGATAATCACTTTCAGACGCTCCTCGTTGCAAAAAGGGTTACGAAGTAATGAGGGTCGGAATCGTCAGATACGAGCCGCTTGTCGTTCAATGTTACGTGGACTCTATTCCCGAAGATGTTCGTTTTTCCTGGACTTATAACACCAGTAAGGGCGTCTTTCCCGTTCTCGGAGCAAAGATGCATAATAATGGGGGCGTTTCCATCCTGCATTTTTCTCCTTCGACAGAAGACATCGACTCGTTTTCTTGTTGGGCTACTAACGACGTGGGCAAGCAGGTAAAACCCTGCTTGTTCTACATCATTCCTGCAGGTAAAAATTTACTCAAAGTATTAATGGAAATCTTCTGTAATGTCTCAAAGTTTATACACCTCGAAAATTTGATAATATAACTAGGAGAAATTTCATTACCATATTCGCATCTCGAAGTCTCATCCAGGCTTATGAATATTCAAACTACTTAACCCGTTAATTACTTACTTCACGAAAGCACTCAAAACCTCAAGGTGCAAATCTACCGAAAAACTATCGAGTTTATGAAGCTTTTATGACAGAAAACTCAATTATTTATACACAAGTACCATTCCGTCATTGTCATTTAACTCACATAAAACTCAAACAGAATTTGGTTAAAGTAATTAAGTAATCAAAAACCTCTTCAATATTCCGACACTTGTTCTGCAGAATTAAGGATCTTAAAGTTCTGGTAACCTTAGATCTCGCACTGAAACAGAAAACCTCATCGTACGATCTAAAAAAAATTAGACATTAACTATAATAGTGCCAGCTGCATATACTGTTTTTTTCTACTTGATCAGTCATAATAAATAAAAAAAAATTAATTTATTTTTAAAATTTATTAAACTCCAGTCTATAAACTGAAAGTAATTTTTTTACGAGTAACAAATTGTTTGTAGCAATTGCGGCCTATTTAGCAATCTCTGGTGGAGTTAAATTTACCATTTCTGTATCACTTTCCCATATTTTTAAACAACCTTTCAGTAATTCTTAGAGAAAACTGCCACAATTTAAAATGCCAGACGCTCACAGGTATCTAATAATAATTAAGTGAATATTGCTATAATAATGTTTTACAGCATTCCCATTGGTTGTACTCGTATTTTAATGAAACATTTGTATCTTAATGAGTATTATTAAATTATAGGCAACAAACATTTAACGAATTAATTAAAACATAGAACTAGAAAAAAGGTATTCATTATGTACTTAGCTGCAAAAACAATGAAAATTTATAACGGGTATTTTTTTTAAATTTGGCTTCAAAGCTATCCACGAAAGTTCGATTGTAAATGAACCATCGTATTGAAAGTTATTAATTTGACATTTGACTCCCCGCCGGGCATATTAAAAATTGTGGTCCGTTCTCAACACACTCATATCAGTCATATCACCGTCAACTATAACGCCAAATTTAAATAATCACCTGTTACTTAATACATACTATATCAAAAATTATTTGATTTATAATGTAACATTTTTTTAGTAACTTAGCAATAACTCTATACTTGTATAGTTAAAAATCCCGGAAATTTCGGTCAGCCTAGCGCAAAAATGCTTTGTTTTGGTTCGGCAAAAATTGCATGTTAAAGTCCTCGTCCAATTGGAGTTTGTACACAAAGGTTTTCTTTCGTCCTTTGAGAGCGGCAATCCCGAGAAAATAAAAGCTTACCGGACATAAATTCGGAACTAAAATAGACATATTGGCACGTAATACGCGTGCGAAGAGCTTTTAGTTGTTGGTTCTTACAAGAAACCGCACTTAGTCTATCTAACTATTGACTGTTAAAACTTCCCATTACTCATCACTCTGTTCATACCCCTGGATCAATTTAAAATGTTACAAGTAAACCAAAACTGGGCTTTTAACCCTCTTAATTTACACTCCGATTTTAAAAGCTTACGGCTTAATCCTTCCAAGGACCCAGAAAGTGATCCTTAATGAGGAGGTTATTTACATTATTCAGAGTTTACTTCGTGTAAGAAATTTTATAAGAAAGTGATGACAGAATGATTGGTTGGGGTTGGGATGACGAGTCTCTCATCACTTTCCACTTTTCGAAAGTTTATGAATAAAGCAAATATGCGAAAAAGGTTTGAATTGTAAGTTTTTTCTTTTCTCTAGAAAATTGTATGAAAGGGAACAATATTTCTTTCGATGTTTCCTACAGTAATAATATATTGTTACAAGAAACGCGGAATTTATGCAATAATATTTCTATTTTATACCTGCAAGGGAGTTATAAATTGTCACACGAAACAAAACCATATTAGATAAGTAAAAGGACTATAAACTGTCGGTTTGGTCGGGTTATAGCTTTTCTCTTGAATAACATCCTCCATTGAGACTTCATTTATACGACTTAAAATAAAAATCAAAACTTGTCATTTTTTATTTACGAGGTAGGTATTTGTTTACAATTTTTTTTATTATTGATTTTACAATTTATTTATTTATTAGTTTAATAGCTGAATATTTTTGTAAGTAAAACACATTTTATTGGTATTTATCAAAACTCGGCGGTTATGAGGGTTGTTAAATATTGAAAGCTGTCTAAGCCCCGCTGAAGAGATGATGAGCTAGGTTTGAACTAGCCGACCAAGAAAATTCTAATAAAACTTAAAGTCTGCGTTTGGTGTAGTTTTATGCTTTAACCGAGTAAATAAATAAATCATCCAGTTAAATCTCCGAAAGGAGAAAAAAATCGTTTTTTCTTGATTTTTTGAAAAACGTACAAATTAAGCGAAGATAATGTAAATTTGGTCACGATCGAGTGAGTTCTCTTACTGATTAGTCATTAGTTTTGGTGTATTTGCATTTCTCTATTTCTGGAACCAAGAGACTAATCTGATCTGACCTAGTATTTTAGGTGGTTACTAAGAAGGCCAAGGTCTATCGTCATGCCAAATTTGGTTACTTTTGATGTATGTATAATATGCATTCATGTAACTTTCAAAACCAAAATGCTGTACTACTCAGTATTTCAGGTAGTTACTAAGGAAGCCAAGATCTAGCGCCATACCATGCAAGTAATTTCTGTTATTATAGTGATCTATTACAGCTTTTATTTTTTTTTTCGTCTTAGGACGAAAACAAATTACGAGAAGAGCGTAATTGGGGCAGAAAGTTGCCTATTTTAAATGTGTTGTTGTTTAATTCACCAATGTTTCTGCCATCTTTTCAAACATTAGGTACTCCTTTTTTAATATTATGACATTTGTTATCTTACCGTCAGCTATACCCTACCAAAAAAGAAATTAAATTGTAATTTAATTTTGGATTTAATTTGACGTTAAAGTATTAGCATAATTTTTGTTGCGCCCCAAACCACTGAAATATATATTTACGTTTTCACAATTAATACCTGCCACAATTTCAATTAAGGTAAATCGCCTGCTCTATTAAACCCTTATAAGAATCATCTGATCGTTAATCTCGCAAATGACAGATTCATTGTATTTAGGTAATGCGCATATAATTCCCCGGTAAGATATAGGAAACAATTTCTTGCACTTAACTCGACAATTTCGGTTACAAAAGCTGTGTAATCTTGCAAGATCGGCCCCGGAATAACATTGTTAACAATAACAAATAAGGCAATCGGAGAGGGTTTTTAGAAAGGAAATATAGTGTCAGGAGCAACGAGTGGCTCGTACATCATCCGAAGAAACCGCATTTGGAGTTTAGCAAACAAATTAACACCGGTGCATTGCAATGCACTGCCTCCAACTTGCCAACTAGGGGAATATTGAATGTTAATTATAGAGCGGAGGAAGGTTAGATCCTCTGTGGGGGATTATCGCGAGATTAGAAACCTCAACAACCACGTAAACAGGAAATACTAGCTAAAAGTTTAAGGCTACGGCTTTGTTTTATAAGTCAAAGTAAGAAACTGATTTAACATCAAAAACCTAGCACTAATTTGTTTTCATCTGCAATCTCCTTTCTGTTCAAAATCGGTCTGACATTCACTCAAATTTATCTCTAAACTTTGGCAAAGCTGCAGTCAGGGCCGTTAATGCGCCATTCAGCAATCATCCGACTGCACGCTCCAGATTCTCCCTTAAATAATCCGTTAAGATGTCCCCAACTTTGCAGAGACGCCGGAATCCCCTCGACATTGCACCCTCCGGAACGCCTCTCACGGCGGACTGGAGGTCGCCTGCGTGGCGGGCGACGACGGCGGGCTCCACCAGAGTTTCATCCTGGAAGTGAACGACGTCACCATTCCCTCGCCACCGCCCGGCGTCACAACACTGAGCGACCAGGGAGAAGCCAAGTTACTCTATCGGACACTGGGGGACCAGCCCACGTTCCGATTGCATAGTCTTCATCCTGGAAGGGAGTACCAGATCATGGTCTACGCGGAGAACGCCAAAGGCAGGAGCGAACCGCCTGTTCTCCTGCCGAGTGTCAGAGTAGAGGCCGAAATCCCGGCTGATACACTTCATGAGACCGGTAAGTCCCTCGGGATCAGCTTAATTTAATTAACGAAGACACTAACAATAACTTGATGTGCGCACAGCATATCTAGTGCGAAGGTTAATTTTCAACGGAATGACCTACAACAAAAATATAACAACCTCTACACATGAGTAAATGTTAAATGTTGTGTTTCAAAAAGATTTTTTATTAAATTCCTTGATTTAAATTTAATTTGTAGTTTTTTAAAATCTAAATTTGGAAACAATCAAATCGTTTTTTATACATTTTTGACAATATATTGACATTCTTTTTGCACCAAATGTACCACGTTTTCCTTTCATTTTGTTCAAAATTTAGTATTAACACGGAATTTCTCGCAAATGTTATAAATTTGAAACCGTTTTAATACCCACAGGTATCACACTGAAAATACAAGTTCGAAATTTACAGCTTCATTATACACAAACGGCTGAGGCTCATTTAAAATTTTGTATATTTCGCGTTTAATTAAATATTTTATTACATAATTCTGCTCATTTTTCACCAACCAACGTCTCTGTCTGTTTATTTAACTTTACGCCAACATCTGGCAATTTTTCAATAGGGAGACAAATTAAACCACGGCCACTTCTTGACCGAAGACAATTTCGGTATAAAACCGTCGCTATCTGTAATTTCAGAGAGTCCCATGGGAACTTGTATCCTAGATTACAGCCATAAATTTATTTTACAACGCTAAAACTTCACCAAATTAACAAAGAGCATTACTTTTACGTAGGGTATGTAGCTGAGAGAAATTGTTGACGGTTTATGTTTGAATTTAGCGCAACAAGATGTGACACATCATTCTTCAAGAAAGAATGAATAAATTGGAAAAAGTCACATTATATCTTGAGATGGCTGCATGTTTCTTTAGGAAGGTGTTTAGACGAATATTTCATTGTTATTATACGAATCGAGGAATCTCATGAGAAATATGGCGCCACATAAAATTTTCCATCTGCCACGAATCTAGAAATGCTTCAAAAATTAATATCAGGAAGACTCGAACTACTCTTTGAAATTAAAAAGATATTTGATTTGTGATATTAATATTTTTTTTATCTAGGAGTTAGGATTGTTCCATTGTGAATAATGGCTGCAGATGTGAAGACGTTTCTGCAGAGAAATGTTTGAATTAGATGTTAAAACAAACAGTATTGTTATGCAACTTGTTTCAAGCACAGGTATCTGTTACGTTGTGTCTTTTCCGGTAATAAATGAATAAAAGTTGAAGAAATTAAACACATTAAGGAAAGTTAAACTGCTTAAACGTATACAAGAAGAAAAATCCCTTTGATTAAGTGCCCCATTAACTTTTTTCATCCCTTCCTTTACAAAGATTAAAATGCTATTAGTTTGCGCAAGTGTACCGGCTTTAATTGTCCATCAAAGACGCCTCTACTTTTTTTTTCATTTGATTACAAATTTGGCATTCTCTTTGTACCCTCGATACAATAATAACACTGTGTGAATAATTTAATATTAAGCGAGCGTAAGCACGCGTTGTAGAATAGAAACAAGCATCCCTTCGGGGAAACTAATGACCAATCTGTTGCGGTTCCTTAGACACAACAACAAGACCGGGGTCTGAAGGATATCCCTCGTCTAGGCAGAATTTAACCGTAATATTAGTGGCGCTGACCGCAGCTGCAGTGCTTCTCATTGTGGGTATTGTAGCATCGGCCGTTGTTATCGCTTGTAGGAAGACTCCCGTGGTTGTACGCAGACAGACAACCAGGAGGAAGTCTTCGGATGATTTGGAGTTGTCCGAAGCCGGGTTTAGCGAAGGCTTCCAAAGACGGAGTGCCCAATATAGGGCCAGTATGTATGGTCTACAAGAGACTGAAGATAGAATATCGAGACTTATCGAAGGTATGTTAAACTGCTTTTATGTAGCACCAATATATAATTCATATAATAGTGATTTTAAATTAGTCTGGCTTTGAGATTATGCCATCAGCGCATTGGCAATATCTTACGCTCTATTTTTTCATCGTTTTGCATAGTTTTTTAATGCTGCTACAGTTTCCGTGTTCCTACGACTATGAAAAAGTCAGTTAAGTTATACAAGAAAAACTAAAAATTGAATAAAGCACCGTTTTGGCTAATCTAAACCCTTAATCTCATATTTAGAGCAATCACACGGCGCTTATGCTAAAACCCCGTTTACTTTTGCCCCTTCAAATATCCCTCATTTAAATTTCGACGCTTCAGCTTCTGCGAGTGTTCTAAATGATCAACACAGAACGGAAGCGACGATAAGATTAGCTGATAACAGACGCATTCTCTCGTCGGGGCGGCTTTTTGTCGCGCTATGGCTTTATGAAAACGGTCCAATTTGGTATGAATTTACGTGTAGTTGCGACCAGGTAATACGAATCTGATGAAAGCGGCAAAACGCGTTCGTGATCTAATTTAAAGGGTGGCGAGAAAAAAACGGGTAATTTTATAATTTTGTGCCGCCATATATGCACACCCTCTTAGCATGTGTTCGTAATAACCGGGGAACTATCGGCCGATCTGCGGTTATTACATAAACGCGATTTCTGATACCGCAGTGGATGATGTCATTCGGTTGAATTGAGACATTTTGAAGTGTTTAGTGTACCGGGTGGGCTAAAAACAGGCTATAATTTGTGTGATAGTAAAAAGAGATCCGGGACTGAGGTACTATAGTGTAGAGTAATGGAGGTGGATGCAGAGTCCTAAACTAACACGCTCGATTACAGCGATAGGAATAATATCGTCGAATGACAAGTACAACGCTCAGATGGGGGATAAAAGCACACGTATGCAAATAAGTACCGTTAATAGTTTAATAGTTGTGTTGGAGTCAGACGATCCGCATTATATGCAGGATACGTCTGAGGTCTCGCGAGTCGACGCATTAAGGGATGCTGACGCGAAAGCAGTTATGAACACGTGTGTGTCTACCAGGGACTGGCATTTAGTTCTCTGATTACCGTTGCGACTAACCTTCTCGAGCCCGGAATACCAAATTTAAGGAACAACCTTGGCGGAAACGGACAGCTAATCAAGCCAAAGCTGAATATTTAGCACTCTGATAGATTATAAAATTAATAATAATAAAACAAAACTAAATAAAAAACTAATTTGACTCAAAATTGTTTTAATTAAAAGTTTTATTTAGATATTGGATTAATACATCAGGCAAATCAAATCGCATCCTAAATTATCTTAAGAATACTAATATACAGGCTGTCAATTTTAAAACTTACAATATCTCTAGAATTGAAAAAGTTATTGAGAATCACTCAAGATCGTTCCGGTGGTTCCTAAGAGAGAATCAAAATGACATGGTAATGGTGGATTTATGCTTCCATATTTAAGATTTATCATTTAAGATTTAATTTAAGAGTTTGCCAACTTTTAACTTTTAAATAAATAAAAAAACTTTTAAATGACAAATAAAATTGATAAATTGTCATTACTGGCATTAATCTCACTTGAAAAGTGAAACTTTTCTTTGAAATAGTAAGATTTATTATGGAAGATGCTGAACTCGTTGAATATAGTTTATAGATTGTCACAAATTTTACAAATGTTTGTGTAAAATACGAGATTTACATTTACATTTACGGTGCATCTTTAAATTACTTTTTGGTTAATTTAGAAGTATACATTTTCAGTTCCAGATAGTGCCGATTGCAACTTTTAAAATTGACACACTGTATATGACAAAATGAAAAATTATATTTCAATGATGCTAATGACTGATGTAGTCAAGGCGCTCAAATTTTAAATTAAAAAAAGTTTTATATAAAAAGATTTTTCACTTTATACAACAACCTAATATTTAATTTTTCTCATAGTAAGTAGTAAATTTCATAAAGGGTAAACAAAAATAAATAAAAACACACTGGATAATATCTCTCAAAAATTTGGGCCAATTGGTGTTGAAAAATGTCCATCTGTCTGTCGTAATCCCGGTCCCAATTTTTCCCGAATGAATGTATTTCACATTTACGTATTTGGTCGGTAAATCAAGCGGTCTTTAAGCGCTGCCAGTGAAGCAAATGAAAGGGCACGTTTATACCAAAATGGATCGAGGGTAAATCTTTCAGCCTTATCGAAGGAATCCAGTTGGCTTTTGCGGCTTTGTATCCTGCTAATTCGGAATATGCCGCAGTTCGCTTTCGGTTTACTAAAGAATTTTATCTGTTTTTTTTTCGCATGTGTTACGTGTTGCGACGCGTTATCCTCAATTTTCGTTTAAAACGCCAATTAATCTTGAAAAGTATCAAGCGCTTTGAGCTTTATGGAAACAATATTTTTGAGGGCAAGTGTGCGGTTTTGTACGTATGTGAAGGTGGCTGCGGGATACGCTCAGTAACTGTTCTTGTTCCCGGAGGAATAAGACATGTTTCAGAACCAGGACTTATGGTTTGTTTAGATGATGGTCCTGTCTATTTTTCACGATTTGTGATGGAAGAGTGCAATTTATAGGCAAAATGGAAATTCTATTTGACCTACTCAAGGGAAGCCTCGTTGAGAACATTGCTCGTTTTATTTGTCACGAAATTGTGCTAATGGAATATTTAAACGGAGTGGGAAGCCACCTGTAACAAATATCATACAAAATGTGGAAAAAACATGAGCTTTTCAAGGATTTTTTTGGATTAATTTTAGCAAAGGAGAAATTTTTATAAAATAGACAGTTTTTTGCTTCGTCGCATCGTGACATAACTTTTACGCTTTCTTAACAGCAAAACACCTACGCCTGTCAGATGACAAGCGCTTATCTTAATTTTTAAGTTTCTTTAATATAAAAATGAATCTTTTATTTAACCTATGCTGGTATCACATAAATAAAATTATATGAAAGACACTCAAATATTGTTGTAATTTTTTTACGAGAAAACCGATGACACTCAAAAATACGAGCGCATTAGACTAAATGAAAAAATTATCAACACTGCCTGGTGTTTAGTGTATTACATCGAAAAAGGCAATTTATAATCCTGCAAAGTGCGCCTCATAAATTTTCCCACTACTAGTGGAAAAAAGCGGACGAAAAAATCATTCTATTGTTCGTAATTTCAGTGTACAAAGAGACCTAAAGCTTCCTTTTGTATTGATTAATTCCGATCAATTGTCCAACCAGCGAACAATATTTGCTTTTACAATAAAAGAGCCTATTTAGTCTTTGAAGTCTTTTGCAACTCAACTATTCAACAAGCGTTATAAAATATTCATTAACGCAATTACAATAGGAAGCCAATTTCTTCACACAAAAAAATTAATTAAACAGCTCTCAACAAGGGAGAATCTCAGATGAAAATTTTTATATTGTGCTTTGTTTTTTCAGGACCTGACTTAATTCTAGCTCCTGTTGGTTTTTCGCAGCAAAATTCCGAGTATTAACAGGAAGCAGAAGAAGAAAAAACGTCATTCAATCGACTTGGATACCCCATTCCAGACTCCTGTTGTATATAATTTTTAATATAGATAAAAATTTCACTGAAACGGAACTGAAAATTTAGTTTAGTTTTATTTTAGTAAAATTTCGACAGGAACAAAGTACAAGTTTTGTAACAGATTTTTTTTCTCAAACACAAGCAGTATTATAAAAATTATATTTTATATCTGAATAACATAAAATGGTCTATAGTTTTTCAAAATAGTTTTTCTATTTATAACAGAATTTTTATTTGCGTATAACAATGTTTGATTGTTCTTAATGTACCTATAACAGGCTAATTATTATTGTAAATATATATTTATCAAGACGTAGTATACGAAGAGTGATAATTCATAATTGACTGCTTTTTACTCAATTGTAAATATAAATATAAAAATTATTTATAGCTAGTGTGTGTACGTAAAAAATATAGTATTAAAATCAGTTATCTCAGAAAAGTTTTTCAAATGTAGGATAAAGGATTGTCAAGAAATGTATATCCTCAGGTATATTTTTAGAAATGTATATTTTTAGGCAGTAATTTTAATAAAAAAAATAAAACAATGATAACCCTTTACCAAATAATTTTGTTGTTTGACCACTTGTTTATTCTACAATTAAGATAAATGTATTCTCTAAGAATTTTCAAAGTCGACTTGTTAAATAATTCAGTGTTTAAATAAAACAAGAAAGTTTGGCAAAATGTCCCGGTCGGTTGGAGTAGATTAAAGACAAAGCCCGTCCATTTACACAACATTCAAGCAGGGCAGCAATTCGCTATGTTAAATTTTTAATTAATAATATGCTCTGATAAAGCGTTAGGAACCGTACAAACACCTAGTTCACACCGAGCTTAGCTACTTTAATAACTAAAAGCATAATTTTTATTTTATTGTGACAGTAATTATATTTATTTGTCTCGCACTTATGCCGTCTGTACATTTCCAAATATTCGCATTTGTTAAGTGCTTTTACTTCACTTCTAAACAGGAAGTTTCATGTATATGTTTACTCGTGCTATAAATCAGACCATTTCTCCGTAGGTAGCTCGAGGGTAACAATGAATTACGTTTACTTAGAAAATTGCATCTCAGAAAAACTGCATGCTGAACTCAACTGGTCCAAAATCATTGTTTTAAGTCAGGTTTGGCTTGGCAGCGCTTTTTCGGTAAATATTATATCGCAAGAAGGGATGAAATTCGTCCAAATGCCTTTTAATAATTTCTGAAAGCAAGTTAGGAACAGTTTATGTGACAGGAGAGGCAGTGTATAGTCCCGTGAGATTCCAAACACGTGCAAACTGAAAAACTATCCCTTTCATCCTTTTGTACACGTTTTGTCATAATTGGGTAAGTGTAATTACAGCAAACAAATTCTGTTTGTGTAGGTTATGCGTTTACCGCGTATGATTTAGAGGGGCTAACATTTGATGTTTTCTAAATATGAGTAATAGGCATAAACCACGCATAAATCGCAAATCCCGCTAGAAATGGCTTTTAATGAGAGTTTGAAAAGCCCATCCAATATACACTTGACTGCATAATTCGTGAGAACAACTAATAACTAGAATATTAAGTGCTATCAGGAACTTCCGCTCATTGCACGTCCCGTTTATCGTTAAGAACTCACCAGACTGACATTCTTTATGTTTAAGGCAAGATAAGGACTCTGTATAAAAATGTAATTTATATTGCTTTCCAACTTTCAACGAAATGAAACAAGTAAGAGCTTAATAGCTAGAAAGAAATTTTATCCTTTGTTCCATGTGTATTTCTATATACGGGTAGATATTTCAATTTGTTAAAATTTGTATATCAATAGCTAAACCTGTACATCATAGACTGGAAAAGTGCTGACGTCACTTAACGCACGAAATACAAAGTAGTGTCATTCCAAAAAATTACGCTAAGAAATTTGACCTTATTGCTGATGTTACATAGGTATATAAGTACATAACTTACGAGTATACAGGGCGATTCAGATAAGATAATGAGCCTGACGATCTGGCGATGCAACCCAAAAAACAAATTTCATTTACGTCATTGATCCAATTTCAATTAGGATTTGCAAGTTGAATCCAAGTTATCATCTTGGTGTCACTGTGACATCAGTGCAGAGAACGATTATTACTGCCATTCAGTTCTCGCGGAATAATAGAGAAGTCAGATAAGTATATTCGGTGTAAACCCAATACATAATGTATGAAAGAATGAAACATTAAAGGTAGGCAAACAGTTTTTTTAAAAATCATAAATTGCATGTCAAAGCACTATCAGAGCAACATAAGATAACTTGGATTGCAAATGCAAATCGTAATTAAAATTAGATCAAAAGGTAAATGAAATTTGTTTTTTGGGTTGCATCGCCAGATCGTCAGGGTCATTATCTTATCTGAATCGCCCTGTATAAAGATCAAATTCGAGACGCTTACTTTAACCGCTTTAAACGGTACGAATAAGCAATGAGACTGCCTGATTCACAAACCCTAAAGTTTATACTCTTAGATGCATCACATTTCGTTATTTTTGACGATTTAAAGCGTTAATCAAAATTAAAACAACTAGTGCAAAATCACCGTGCAAACACCATGCCATGCCATTGTCATAAAGAATTGAAAATTGAACAATGAACGGTCAGCAAATGCTGGTGAAAATAAACGATCTTATATGGGGATTGTTCAAAAGCAAACGCCTTTTAACAGTAACAATCATCTTTTTCTGCTTTTTTCCGATCTTGTGGTCTCAACTGCCGGGGTTATGTCTCCATTTTCTAATCTATTAAATTTCGATTTTTGATTTGCAGACATTTCATTAACAATTTTATTTAATCTAATTTTAAAAAATTAAAAACGTTATTTACGACGTATTTTATAGAAGAGCGTACATTAACGACAACATAAGAAACAAGCTCAAATGCACCATAGAAACAGTATACGATATTAGTAGGTATTGGAAAAAAAATCATTTGATCTTTGATGAAGAAAATTTGTTTAAATCAGTCGCCATTACTGACAACACGTTTTGGAGTCGATACTATTAAGATAATAATAGGGCATTAAACCGGTACACACCAATCAGAGTAGAAAATAACCCCGACTACATAGTTCCCCATACTTTAGTACAGAATGAAAATTTATTAGTTGTGTCATTATGAAAATGGATGTCGCTTAATATAAGCGACGATTCTCCTAAACTTAGACCATATTCCCGAGCATAATCTGTGCCCAGGGCTATAAGGAAACGTTAAATTTGCATAATTATTATAGGATGCTAAAACAATAGTATCGTGCTGGATTATTCTTATCTTTTATTCGTGACCAAAAATTAGTCCATGGTAAAAAAATCGAAAGTCTAAAATTTGTGTTAAACATTAAAATATCGTGTGGTGGCAAATTATCCGCAACGGAAAATTGTAAAAATATGTTCCAAATTGTAAGTACATAAAATATTCAAGAATCGCGTGATTACATTGGCGTGTCTTAAATGTAAAATTCTTTTATAGAGAACCGCACTAAAGCTCCTGTTTAATGTTTTATGAACATAATTTCTATTTAATTCGGATTGTATGAGTAATAATTGCTAAGCGAGTCGGTGTTCGAATGAAAAATAAAAAATATCCTATAAATATATAACTTGTAAGAAATTTACATTTAAAAACAAGATTTATGACGGTGTTTTACCCCAATGCTATGTGAGAAAAGACGTTATAAAATATCGTTAATAACTGTCATAAACTCTGAAGTTTTTTGAAACTACCCAAGGGTATAATTTAATGCTTCCCTTTGCCTGTATAGAGAGGTTTTGACCATTCGCAAGACAAAGCTTTGTAGAACAATATAGAGGATTTTTATGGTCCAGATAAAAGCAAGATAACATTTTTCTACAATTTACATCGCATAAACAGCATTAATAATAAAAATAAAAATAAAATTGTCCCATTTGCCTTTTGCCAATTCTCTTCTAGCCATTTCAAGTCTTCTGTTTATTTTGGTCCTAAAGTAGATAATTTTGCTTAACGTTGTTTCAACTGGTCATATAAAATCGATCGAGTCTCTCCTACGTGTGAAGAATGTTGATCGTGTCCCAAACCCTTATTTATGTAATGAATCCCTTGGTCGCTCTTGCTCGTAAAACAACTCGCTATGATTCCGATATTTCCGGTTTATTGAATCGAACATTTTATTATTTTTATATTGCGGCTTTACGAATAATTGATAAGAGCGACCGCAAAAAACCCGAATTGATGGCCACGATAAAGAATTTAAGCGAACAATATGTCAAGCATCGAAGGATTGACCGGGAGGGCGATTACTGGAAGTGATCGGAAAACTAAGTTGGATCAAGGTACGCAGTTCGTTATCGGCGGCGAGGATATCGTGTCACAAAGCCGCGACCTCACATCTTAAATGTGTTCCGTCCCTTGTCACACTCGCACCATGACAGCTGATGCTTTTATTCCAGCCCTTCGTAACCTCGAGCGAAACTTCAACCTAAAATGTAATGAGACACGTGGAATGGCGATTGGCAAGTGCACGTTTTGGGTCTTCGTAAAGTAAGATTTAATCTTATAATCTAGCAAGTTAGCACATGACACGGGATGGGAGTTGTATGGCGGAAATCCAGGAACTGACAAACGATAATAAATAAATATCTAGCCCATTCTTATTATTGTTTGCAAGAGATATAGCTCTTAGTTTTTAAAGTCATAACCAAAATTTTAAAATAAAACTATAAAAATTTATCAAAAATTGTGGTGGATGCGCCGGGAAAACATTTAAAACCAAAACGAAAGAAATTTTTTAATTTGGTGGGTAGAACTAAAGAAATTAATGAAGATATTTAAAAATATGTTAAGAGATTTTGGCAGTATATAGGGAGCGCCAGAACTCGCGCCCCAGAGAAAATGCCATATAAGGTAAGATACCAAGGAACATGGAAAAAATGTTAAAAAAAAATTATCTATAAAAATTTTGAAGTTATGAGGGTTTAAAGTCTGTACTTTGACTCTATTAATTTCTTTTGGAAAAATATTTTTTTAAGTTTTTTTGCTGTAGCCTATTAAAAGAGGAAACAAGGAAGCTGTATCCTAAATTGTAACTCTTTTCAATGTTATTTGTGGCTTTTATTGGCAAAATTTTTGTCTCTTTACTAAATAATTGTAAAAAAAACATATACAAGGTCATCAGTATCATTAAATAAATATAACAAAATGACAAATGTCATAAAATAAATGACAAAATTTTTTGACAGATAGAATTTTTTAAACATTTTTTTCATGTTCCTGGTACCTTACCTTACTTGAAAATTTTCTTTGGGACGCGAGTTCTGGCGCACTCTGTATATACAGGGTGATTCTCGTAGGGCCTACATTAGCAACTTTTTAACTCTAACCTAACTACGGCTTTGAAATTTTGTATGGGGTAAAACTTGAATAACTAAATTATTTTCAAAATGACTAAACTTTTAGAACTATAAAAATTGGCTCCAACTTTGAAATTTTAATGGTAACTACTCAATTTGATTGCATTTTTGAATTTATCTTTTCAAACTGAGACTTTTATTAGCAT